CAGGTAAGGTAAGAGGTAGAGTAGGCTCGGGATAAGATTTGCCGGTGGAAAAACGTGGGGTTGCGTCAAAGCACGTTGTGGAAAGTCGAAACGATTGTTTTGGTGTCAAGTATTAGACTGAATGCCACATAATTAGATATGCATAAACTATGCACACTGGCCTGTTATTATTCAATTCTGTATACTCCGCACATGTGACCGGTAAAAATCCTAGGCCGAGATTCGAAGATTAGCGATCTTCAAAATATCTACTCCGTAATGCTAAAAATATCCAGGGGGAGGGGGAAGATGCCTGCATGCCAAGCCGTTCCCCGCTGCCCGCTATAAGGCGTTCTGTAGCTCCTGGCGGCATGCATGGTAACCATGTCACCTCCGACTCCGATTATTCCGGCTCGACGCGGAATTAGAGTAACTCGAAACGGGGGAGAGTCCGGGGAAGCAATGCGCATCAGCCGACGGATGATCCCTAAATTCTGGTTTCCTGTCTATTTTAGCCGAGCAAAGACCCTTCAAGCCTTAGAGGAAACTTTAGGCCAAAAATAGGGTCAATAGGGCAGAAGGGTCAGGGACCAATCATGATCTCGAAGACCGCAGATGCCACAATCCGCCAAGGAAATGTATGCCGATGGCATGCTGCCTTGAGTATCGATTGAAATCACAGTGAGGGCTGGTCTTTAGCGCTTACTCTGGAGTTTGCAGAACTCTGCTACTAGAGGATGCTATACGAAGTGCTAGACCCCTGTGGCGCCGACGATCGTCTTTATAGCTGAAATGATGTTATCCGGCCAGCTCAGTCGGGTAAATGTTCGCCCAAGAGGGTGATCAATCAGTTCTGAGGATCTGAGCGTCGAGGATGAATGCCGGTGAGTAGACCCGTGTATCATTTCAATTGTCCTCTACAAATTGGCAGTCAATGGGGTCATGCTTTTGTACATGTCTTGGCAAAACCCTGGACCAGGAGCTATCAGCCACGTCAGGTTCTCATATTTCATTGAAGCAGTAACTGCGGTTATACGTACCACGAGGAACCGAACTTGACTCGCGATTGACGGACAAGTCTTGGAGCGGAGGATTTTCTAAGGGCTTATTCAATCAAGACTCTTCGGGCTGCATGGCGAAGTATTACTGGATCGTTGCTGCATGTATGCTGAGCCAATCATTAGATCGATGCATTCTCACACATAAAACTTCGAGTAGTTTGTCACGGACCACTATTGTGTCCGTGGCAAATGATGCTTCACCCATGACCACGTTTCCAGTTGCGAAGGCAAGGATCATGTTCCTGGCCTGGTCAGCCGAGTCTAGATGTGAAGAAACAACCACCGGACTAAGATGAGACGATTGATTAACGTAATTACCGTTGCTCATATCTCTGACTTGCGTGATCTATCAGATGGCGCTAATGCTTGCTACCATGATAGTTTCGCTCTTGGATGTGCCGCGCGACGTCAAGAGCAATTCAAAAACGTCCATCGTGCAATAATGCATGTATGTGGCATTTTTCTCACCTGAGCAAGCGTGATCCTCTCGTCGGAAATTGCAGCATATTCGGTTTGGTCACGAAGATCTTCTTGGCAACAGACGCCGACAGTGAGAATGAACGAGGTATCCTTGAAACTCCGAATGGCTCACAGTGCAAGAACCGCGCTCATTGTTTGTAAAATGCACATGGAGAATGGACGGTCATGTTGAAAGCGGGGTCTTGGCGATCTATAACTGGTGACCAGAATATGGTCATGACTGTCTGTGGTTCTATTCTGGGAACCTCGTGATGGGTTATCAGGTTTTCCCGACACAGTCCGTACGCGTCAGAGTAGCATAAATACTCTTCCTCTATTCATGCTTAGAACCACTTCATAGTGCCCACACATCAACAAACCTCCACTTTCTGGTACCAAATTGACCATGGGTAGCTCACAGTCATTTCATTGTGATCCCAATATGGGTGATATCGTCATAGTCGGAGCTGGTGCAAGTGGCATTTCAGTTCTGATGCACTTGGTTGAGAAAGCCAAAAATGGGAAAAGCTTGCCGCCTGTCACTGTGATTGAGAAGGATACACGTTTTGGCCCTGGGCTAGCATATTCTTCTCTGTGCTCGGGCACCATCATCAACATGCACACCGACACAATGGGGTTATACTTCAATGATCCCAAGCACTTCTCACGTTGGAGAAGCGAGCTGGAGAGTGGGCCGTTTCCATCCCGAGATATCTATGGAGATTACCTCGAAGACATGTCACATCAAGCACTCAATGCGGCCCAGCAACTAGGGATGAGCGTTTCTTTCGTTCACGATGAAGTCACAGACATTGAGCGCCAGAATGATCAGTCATTTCTCTTGACTTTGAGCAGCGGTGGGCAATGTCTTGCAGGTCAGGTCGTGATGGCACCGGGAAACTTCACCTCTACCGCGTATACGCATCTTGTGAATCAACCACAATTTCTCGCCAGTCCATGGCCCACGGAAAGCTTGAAAAATATCCCTGCCGATGCTCCCGTTTTGGTCATTGGATCCCGACTGTCAGCTGTGGACACCGCTATAGCCCTTGCGCAGAATGGACACCAAGCTCCTATCACATTCATGTCGCGCAGTGGGCGAGTGCCTACAGTTCAAGGGGAGCCGGAGCCTTTTCCTCGCCGATATTCTCTTCACATACTTGCACGAGAGGTCGAAGCAAATCCAAGTGACGCTCTGATCAAGCTCATGACATGCTTGATGGACGAGATCGATTATATCAACAATGGCGATTGGAGCTGGTTTCGGAAACATGCCTCCCCGCTCAAAGAACTGCAAGCTGATATCAAGGCCGCACGGGAAGGAAACGTTCACTGGCAGACTGTTCTTCGCCACACCGCACCTGTTATAGAGCGATATTGGAGCTGTTTACCAGTCGAAAGTCAAAAATTGTTCTTGGACAAGTTCTTTAGTCCTTGGATGAGATACCGCCACGGGATGCCCCTACAAAATGCCCAAAAGATCTTGGACCTAATGGAAAAATCCCAATTGAACGTCGTCGCTGGTGAAAGAGTCGATTGGGACGCTGAAAGGAACGTTTTCTTCGCGAACACCTCATCGGGACTGGTTGAAACATCCTATGTAGTTGAGGCTACAGGTCAGGAATGCCATCTCGACCGGATTTCATCTTCGTTGATTCGGTCGCTTGTGACTAAAGGCCTCTTCAAGTCTCATCCAACAGGCGGAGTGGATGTCGATTTTGACACTTTTGAAGCAGCACCCGGACTGTATACTATGGGAACGCTAACGCGTGGCACACACTTCTATGTGAGCGCCATTGATCGTGTCGCGGCGCATGCTGCGCGAATCGCGGACGCGTTGACCCAAGACCCTCGGGCAAAGTCTCTCCATGTCGCCATTCTCCTGGGATCTGATTTTCTATCCCACATAATAGCTAGTGAGCTCATTCCAAAGCTTTTGTCTCAAGGGCACATGCCTTTCATTTTTATTTGTCCGGATGAACAAGGTTCAGGAACCCTCAAGGCACCGTCGCTCGCCCGGCGAGAATCGCATTTCTTTGACGTTGAGCTCTTGCGAGATCACTTTCAACCGCTCCTGCAGGCTCAAAACCTCAAAGACGGCAGGTTAATGACTATCGAGCAGATAGAGTCCACGTATGGACTGTTCGTGCAGGATATCTCTTCAGTAGATGACAAAACATTTCTGAACACACTCAAGCATCAATTCATCGACTTGGGAATTTTGCTGAGGGGCAGTGACCGTGCTCGAAAGATTGCTGCCAGCCATTTTTCCTCGGAGTCTGGACATCTCCTCAATCTGAAGCCCACATTTCGGCGATCGTCGAACGGCAGGGCCTCCAGAAAACCATCCATCCGCTATCAGATTACCGTTATTAGTGAAGCAGGAGATCTGAGTGAACTAACTGAGACTCACTACAAGAGCCTCGACTTGCTCCAAGATTTGGAAGATAGTAAAGATCATGCTTTTGGTCAAGTGGTCCAGGCGGCGCTACAGGTCACCGAGTCGCTGAGCCGTGGGAAAGGGTTGCCTAAAGCTGAGCCGACGCAAAGGCATATGACCGGAAAGCACCCAAGGGGGCTCTCCCACGAGGAGGCCCCAGCCTGGAGTCAAGACTTTGTTGTCAGCACCTTGGTAGACTCATTCGCATCGCCTGGCAAGAAGCAAGAATTGAGCACGTACCTGAACGAGGTTGTTCGTACTTGGTATGCAAAGCAGGCCAATGCAGAGATAGGCGATCGAGTCATGGTTTGAGGCTTTCCTGAAGGAATGACTGACCACCTAGGTAGGTGGTTGTGTGAATGTTGAATGGTTTCTTGAGGAAGCGCGGCAACAGGTGCGACAGAACCTTCCCGCGGCTGCTGTCACTTCCCCTCTTTTCTGTCCGGTACGGTACACACATGAGATGATTCGAATTTCCATTTCTGCTCAGCACCGTCCATTTCAGCGAGCTTCAAGAGCTATTACATTCGTTTCAGAGTTCTCTAAGAGTAGCCAGCTTGAGCTCAATAGCTTAAATTTCTTGAATTATTCCGTCCTCCATCTTTATGACTTGTCAGACTCGATTCTATCGTATACCACGTCCCGCCATCATTGGACTACAAGAATGCTATGCAGTCTTCTCTTCTTGGGCAAGGCTCTAGTATAGCATGAAGGTCTCTCTCTATTAGCTGTCATGGTGTCTTTGACTCCAAGTCTTACATGCTAGGGTGTATAATGCCTTTCCCCCCGTATAGTGGTGATCCTTTCCACTGACTGTCGGGTCTTGAAAGGGGTCCCGAACAAAATGATTAACAGCTACCCTGACATCAAGGCTGCTACGTAGCTATCTTGCTAACCCCGATAACGGCATGCTCATCCCGCACGGAGGCAAATCGATCGGACCGAAACGCACTCATCCCCTCTTTAAGCTTGATCATTCAAGTGGGGTATGGTCTAGAGCACGTCTTCGCTTCCCGTGCTGATGCCATTCGCACTATCTCATCGTCATAACGGCCGATCTTCTTCGGTAGTTGCGTCGATTCCCTCTAGATTATAATATAAAGCCTGGGTACAAGCAAGGGGGTCATGCGATCCACCATCCCTCAAGAGTCTTTGCTGGTTCTTCTCAATCGCAGTCGGTTCTCGTCAGATAAATGGGAATGGCTCCTCGTCAAAGGTATAGCAAGGACTTTCTGAATCAAGTCACAGAGCTCGAGCAGAATGACATCTGTCTAGTTGACTCAGATGCTGAGAGGGCGCTGGTAAGATCTCTATCGTCATTTAATTAATTATGAATTTTGAAGCTCATGGAATATTAGGTATGGCGTCTGGATGCGGTTTTCCTTGTTGTTGGGTTTTTGGGATATGCGTTCAAGTACCTCGACCAGACCAACATTGTAAGTTGACCATGCCTTTCGCTGACTGTAACGCCGAAGCTAAGAAGGATTCACCAGAGCAATGCATATGTGTCCGGCATGCAGACAGATCTGAAGCTTTATGGAAACGAGCTAAATTACTTCACCACATTCTTTAAGTGAGTTATTTTCCCCTACGCTGATTTACCCATGCTGATCGTATTTAGCATTGGCTACATGATCATGCTTTATCCCTCATGTATTATTATATCTCATATAGGGCCATCAATCTGGTTGCCTACATGTGAGGTCAGGAATAACTTTTTAGGCGCAATTTACGTGCAGCGCATTAATTCGAAAAATTAGGTTCTTTGGGGTATCTTAACGTGTTGTCTGTCTACTGCCACGTCTGCGAAGCAGGTAACAGCCCCTTCACTAGAAGAGTTTGCCACAGTTGGTTGAGAGTCTAACAATACAAGGTCTATGGCCTTCGCTTTCTCATAGGCTTCTGCGAAGGGGCCACCTGGCCGGGATACTTTACTATTATCAGGTATGCTCTTTGTAACTCATTCGCCTAAAACATACTGAGGCAATCGCTTTTAGTCAGTGGTATCTTCCGCATGAGATGGCATTGCGCATGAGTCTTTACAACATGGCCCAACCGGTCGGCGCCATGCTTTCTGGAGCACTGCAAGGTGCACTGTCCACAAATCTGAACGGCACGCTTGGAAGAAGCGGTTGGCAATGGGCGTTCATAATCAATGTGAGTAAGGATAATCGTGTCATATGTGCTACTGAGACTAAAATCATTGTTTGAACAGGGAATCTGTACGATCACTGTTGCCCTCCTTGCCTATGTAGCAACGCCTGGATTCGTACGCAACTTGACCTCCGAGATGCTGATGTACCACTAACATAATCCACAGCCGGAAAGACAGAATCCGCTCTCCAAGATCTATCTCAAGCCCCGACACATCGGTGAGCTAACTTACATGGCATATTCCTAAAAGACCCACATCCTGACACCTGCATAGAAACTGCTCTTGCGCGAACGCGTCGTGTCGGCCGGAGCCCACAAGTTGGGATCACGCCCAGAACATTCCTTCGCGCCTTGAGATTCTGGCATCTTTGGCTTTTCTCTAGTGTGTTCTTCAAGATATTCCACTATTACAGCAACAAAGCTAATCAAGTCTCAGTTGCATGGTGCATTGGCACGGGGACGACCCCAACGAACTATTTCAATCTTTGGCTCAAATCCTTGACTAACGCTGATGGAACAAAAAAATAGTAAATCAACCTCATCACCCCATTCATTTTTCACGTGCTGACTCCCGAAACTTAGTTCAGTTGCCATGCTCAATTATCTTCCCATTATTGGTCAAGCGATTCAACTCGTTGCCGAGATCCTCTTCAGTGGGTTCAGCGATTTCTTCGGCACAAGACTTCCTTTTCTGCTTTTGCATGCCGTGAGCACTCCGCGGGAGAGAGATCTCATCTTATCACAATGCGAGATACTAATATTTAGATAGGTAATCAACATCACCTCCCTTATAATTCTGGTCATTCGCCCGAGCAACGAGTCTGCCTACATGGTTGGATGGTATATGAACTACATCGGAGCGTAAGTGAATTGAAGAGGAACAACAATCGACCCCTTGTCCCTCCCTGATAAGCGAAACCAGGCTCACTACTGACCGGATGATCCAGCGTCTCCACAATGCTCCTATGCGCTTGGGCAACCGCGCATCTCGAGACAGAACCTCAAGTCCGGACAGTTTTATTCGCCACCGGCACACTCTTCTCATATCTCCTCAGCGCATTCCTCCCCATTGCCGCCTATCCCGCCGAGGAAGCACCCCACTGGCGCATTGGCGCAAAGCTGTACCTGGCTCTCTCGATGTTGGCAGCTATTCTTTTCATCACTATACATTTTGTTTTCAAGTGGGAGAAGCGCACACAGCAAACGAGGGAGGGCAACCAAGTATCCGGTCTAGAGCATGGCAATCGTTCAAAAGGGCGCTCTGAGTCCCGAGATGAGGTATAAGGCCTGTTTGACATGGTGGTTTGACCGGCTAGGTTACCCTGCCCATTCAACGATTGTGTCGCTTCCTTGGCCTGATACAATATCACTGCATTGTCTTTCTCGGACATGATCCTTGACCAATGTGACGTAATGCAGTTTTATCAAGGCTTGCCCCAAAAGAGCCCACGTCAACACTTGACTCGCTTACGAAGTATTTTGGATGTTCCTAAATGTTGGCCGTGCTATAAGAATACTTTCGAGCCAAATAGAACACTAGATTTCGATAAAAGATGACTTTCATCTCTAGAAGATTGATCACTTTGTTTGATCATTGGAATTGTGCCAATCAATGAGCACGAACTTCACATATCTCTCAGACAGCGCACAATACCTTACAATCATGTTCAGCCCCTATCTATTCATCTTGTGAATATGCCCACGATCTCGATCCTTCCACATGTCAGTGATAGTAGAGGTCTTGAGCTCAAGCAAAAACATGCGCTTGGTATCTGAAATACTCGCCGTAAAATAGCCTTTGAACTCCGCTAGGATGAACTGATAATAAATCTGCCAGAGCTCCGATAGTCGCAGACCCTAGAAGCATGATTGATAAGCCTCTAGAGGTGTATCCAGATCCGAGGCCAGGCATGTGTAACCGTTCAACTCCACAACTCCAGGTTTAGATTGACCCAAGTGCAGTGTCAGAAGTGGAAGGCTCTGATACTTATGGAAGGGGACTCGGAGTCTGATGGCGCGGGGAAGGTAGATTTGAGGGCTCTGCTTGCGGGGCACTGCGAGAAGATGTTAAGGGTTGACCATGTGCGATTATGAACGCAGCGTGGTCTCATGAAATTGAAGTAGTCTACCTTACGGGTCGCTTCCAGTGGCTGGAGCTAGTGGCAGGACATGAGGTGCACTATTGCTACTTGTCCCGAGTGTTATGGATCCTAGTATAGAGGTCTGATGTTGGAATGCTGGCTAGAGTAAATCAGAAAGTGTCAGGGCAGTTCTATGGAGAGTTTAACGATATACTAGATGATCTTTTGAGAAGCGATATAGTATACAGAATGAAGGCGAAGCGCCGAAGTCTGATCTCAAATTCGAGTGGGTGGATTGTAATCCGGGTCTACAGCACGGTTACCCCAAATCGAGTCATAGGCGTTATGCCAGGCCGGAAAAGAGACGCAAAGGTCCTGAACCAGCCTATGTTGCAACGGAAGGATCGCCTCCAACGGCGATAAAACTCGACAATGACGGAGATTACAAGCAATTTCTGGAACCTCCCCAGACGATCTCGATTTACCATGTGGAAGGGAGGGTCTAAAAATAGCGGGCTGGAAATGCCAAGAGATGAGCAGCATTCTCGGGCCGGTCCCCAATCAGCAAAAAAGATCTCCCCGCGCCCTTAATCCAACTTCACTCCTTGGTTCAGATCCTGTCGCAATGCCATTATCGAGCCAGCCACCACCCCCCATGAATCCTACTGTAGAGGAGGTAGAAGACGAGAGTAGGCCTAGTCCAGGTAGCGGTGGTGGTGATGCCAACGCCGCGCAACAGCAATTGTCATGGGCTGAGGTGTGTAAAAAGCTTTCTCCCGGAGATGACCGCACGAGCTGGTCATCCTACCGGCTCACATTGTACGGTGTTGTTGGATTTGACATGTGAAAGCTGACCTTGTGGATTGTTTAGGTTTGCGCCCAGCACGAGTCGCTGCTGGTATCCCACCTCGCGCTGCTACAGCAGGTCCAGGGCGAGGTTCCGTCCAATGGCGATGCGTCGCGGTTGGTTACCAACATGTTGGAGCGGACGAAAAAGTTGATGATGCAGTTCAAGATCATCAAAGGCAAATTTGTGAGTTGTTCGTTTGCTTCTCCCCATCGCGGGTATGGGTGCTGTTGACATAGTGCTAACACGCCGGCATAGGGTTCCAGTAAGTCACGTTGCTTCCGCCAGGCTGCGGAAAGTTTTTCTCTGCAGGGAAATTCTTCCAGTCGAAGCTATGGGTCATTGAAGATGGACCTAACTTTGTGATAGGAAATCTAGATGCTGAGAAAACCTTGCACTCGAACTCTGGCTCAGATCCGTCATCTTCTCATCGGACGAGTGATTCGTCTGGCAATGGCCCTCGGGCGAGAGATCGGGCGAAACGGGCACGCGCAGAAGCGAGCGAACGAGACGAGGAGACTATTGCTGCAGTACCAGATGCAGAGACTATGTCGGCCTTTGCTGACCCAGCCCGTCATCACAAGCGTAAGCGCTTAATGAAGGTGCTGCCTGGGGGTGAGGATGACGTTAGGAGCATAACTCCGGTGTCGATTGACACGGAGGACATCTCTGAGGAGGTACAACGAAGGCTGGCTATTCGAGACGAGCAACGCAAAAAGCGCAGCAATGCTAAAGCAGAGAAGCGCAAACGAGACAGCATGACCTCAACCGGAAGTGCACCTTCTCCTGGCGGTCCTACGAAGCAACCCAGAAAAAGGATCAAAGCAATCCAATCCCATGAGCGATGAAGACATCGGAGAGCGCTTCCCAATCCAATCGTACGGTCGCTCTTTCGAATCGCAGTTGGGCAAAAGTGTCTAGCCAGACTTGACAAGATGGTAGCCCTGCTGCCACATGGTGCTTCACTTATTGGGACGGAAGTTCCGACGAGGCTTCCTGCACGCAATCTGATCGTACCTGGAAGCTTAATTCCGATATCTCTGCAGGGCTGTCTCGCGGATTGGCTCGACCAGAATCCCAAGCCGCAGCTGGGATGATCTTGCGTCACCCCCAGACTATGCCAGACTCTGTGCTAAGCTTTCTGCAAGGGTACTGTGGCTACAGGGTTGCATCTGGCTGTCATTTCTGAGGCAAGCTCACCGGAATCTTCACTTCAGTAGCAGAATCACCTTGAAAGCATCATGACATCGAATTGTTAGTGCGGCCGAGCAAAACCAGCTCTTCTCCTCGCGGCTCTCCTCGGTCTTTCTTCTCTTCTCCTCTCTCCAGACTACCAAAAAACAAAAAAAGGAGTCTCAAAAAACTGTTCTTGCTTTCAAAATCTGCTTTCACGTACTCGCGTTGCTTTTTACACCTGAACTTGAAATCCGTATTACCCTGATCCTCATAGAACACGAAAAAGTTCTATCTGTGTCCCGAACCATGCAAAGAATCATGAAGACAAAGGACACGAAGAGATTTGCGACCTCTTCAGAAGACGACCGCCGCTGCTCTGTCCACAAAAAACCTGGTCGCACTCCACAGAAAACACACAGGCAGCACAAGCAAACCGGCCAGACAACGCGGGGTACCCGACTCCAGTCCCTGCCCAACTCTTCTGGCCAGGGCAGGGACAGAGCCCCTGCTTCTCAAACAATCCGTGATTATGTTTACCCCAACCCTCTATGCCACCGCTCCCACTGGCATTTGTCCCAGGTCAGCAATGACCAGGACGTGGTGATGAGAGATGTTTCCGGCCAGACAACGCGGGGTATGCGCCTCCAGTCCCTGCCTAACTCTTCTGGCCAGGGCAGGGACAGAGCCCCTGCTTCTCAAAAACCTCGCTATTCCAATTCCCGACGCCGCCGCCCCCAACGGCGTCTGTCCCAGGTCAGCAATGATCAGGACGTGGTGATGAGAGATGTTTCCGGCCAGGCAACGCAGGGTATGCGCCTCCAGTCCCTGCCTAACTCTTCTGGCCAGGGCAGGGACAGAGCCCCTGCTTCTCAAAAACCTCGCCATTCTGATTCCCGACGCTGCCGCTCCCAACGGCGTCCGTCCCAGGTCAGCAATGACCAGGACGTGGTTATGAGAGATGTTCGTTGTGAGGTTAGGAATACAACGCCTGCCTCCAAGCAACCCCCCCGCCCTGCGAATCCCCGTTCCATCCTTAAGGTCAGCAATGGCCAGGATGTGGTCATGAAAGATGTCTTCCTTCCCAAGAAAAAAGTACACTTTGCTGGTGCAGAAGTTCACCTCTTCCATTGTTCCGAGCCCGAGATCATTTATGACTCGGATGTTGAGATGGCTGAAGCCGAGGATGAAGATGTGGAGATGGAGGACGCTGATGTTGAGATGGTCGATGCCCCTGAGCTTCCCTGGTGGGTGTGTGATGTGTCGATGGAGTGAGTGAAGCAATGCAAGCTTCAAGTTCCTCTCTTCTTGTCTTGTCTAAGAATCCATGTTTTTTCCTCATGTATGGTGTTGAACCCCGATGGGGTATTTGTCGATGGACTGCAAGCTAAAGCTACAGACATCAATGTCTCTCTTCCCTCCATCAACTCGTTGGTAGTTTAGTCAGGAGACAGATCAACCAAGAGTTTTTCACTTGCCCACTTGCCGAATGACTGCTGGCATTCACTGTAGATCAATCTAAGTCCCGACTGGACAAGTAGGTGTCTCTATCAACCTGATTTATTCGCTTTACTGTAGGTATTGTACTTATTTAGAAACCCAATGCTTTTCGAGGTTATTGCTTCACCTAGAGCTAGCGCCTTGGTGGCCCTGCCTAGCTGTTCCTTCCTAGCTCTGGTGCCGACAGCAAAGTTTCCATTGTATTCACAGATCAAACCTGTTCCTTCCGTGGTGAATCGACATGGTAATCTGAATCTCTCTTTCCATAAACTTCCACTTCCCAAGTTCCACTTCCTGTCTCGTCTTCTGTCTCTCGCCCCCACCCTCCGACTTTCCTCCTTCAGCCTCTCTTTTTCTTCTTTCCTCTGTTCCCGCACTAACAATCCCCATTCTCCCCGAGATCTATCCTAAAGGTCAGCAATGACCAGGACGTGATGATGGAAGATGTGTTTCTTTCTCCAAAAAGGGCTCACTTTGAAGACGCTGAATCTCAACCTCTCCATGATATTCAGCCCATGATCATGTATGACCAAGACATTGAGTTGTTTAACATTCAAGAGGATGTGGATGTGGACATGGAGGACGTTTTCCGTGCCCGCCGAAGAATCCACTTAGCCGACTTTCGTTATCATTTCTCAACTGGCCGCAGTCCAAGGTCAGTGAGAACCTGGACGTGGAGATGAAGGATGTTTCTGACCAAAGCAGGGACAGAGACTCTGCATCTCAAAACCCTCATCCTCCTACTTCCAGCCGCACCGTCCCAACTGGCACCAGGTCAACGTTGGGAGAGACTCCCTGGCCTGTTGAGGGACTCCACTTCGCCAATTTTCAAGAGTGTTGCTGCCTCCCAACAAGTCGACCACCGCTGCCCTGCCCACAAAGACAAAAGTCACACTTCAGAAGTTTCAGCAAAATGATCTCGAACCATGGCATTGACCATGAAGACAACGGACACGAAGAGGCTTGCGAAGAGGCTTGCTGCCTCTTCACAAGCTGACCGCCGCTGCTCTTTCAACAAGAAAACTGGTCGCACTCCACAAAGGTCATACAGGCAGCACAAGCTAAAGGCCAGACAACGCTGCTGTTCCGCCCTCTGATCAATTCGAACCTGAGAAGTGCTGAGGAAACTGAGGCATGATCCTCATAGAACACGCAAGAGTTCTATCTGTGTCCTGAAATATACTTAGGATCATAAAGACAAGGAACAGGAAGAGGCTTGCTATCTCCTTATAAGACGACCACCGCTGCTCTATCAATAAGAAAACTGGTCGCACTCCACAAGCTATACAGGAAGCACAAGCCAAAAGGCCAGACAACGCAGCCGCCAACTACGAGCATGTTACAATTTCCGACGACATCGATACAGGAGCTCTGTTTCCCCTCGCGGAGTGAGGGTCTGTATGTAGACCATCGGCGGGCCGTGTCTGCTCTTACGTAAATTAGAAATAGCATATCGTCTCCATGATGGGTAGTATAGTCCACCTCATTATAAGTTACTATACACAGCAATGAACTACTCTATTGTTCATAAGTTCTGATACTGTCAGCATCTAAAAGTTTGACTTCCCATGCCTACCATCTCTTTCTTGATGCCGGAAATTGCACCCAATATCCATCTAAGCTCCGATTGTTGTGCGAGTATAAAGGAACATGCGAAGCTTCTTGGGCAACCAATGACGAGAATCAATGCCACATAAAAAGCCACTCAAGAAGTGTTGTTATATTCGAGCGGAAAGGGGAGATAGGCCATTCCTCTCAATGCTTGTACTTAGCAACCTATATGAGTAGATTATGATCAGTAAAATGTTCCCCACATTCCATGAACAAAGGCATCACTTCACATACCTCCTCAAATTTTCCAATTCGGATAGGCCACGCGAAATATATAGTATGAACAGGATGTCCCTAGACTAGGGGATGAAAGGGAGTTTGTTGTTGTTGAGATATTGTGAAGGTTCAAGAAGCGGCTATTGACGCGCCTTGTATTGTTATGCGGACACCTCACATTTTTGTATTGCAATGGGACATCGGCGAGGCTCTACTTGGAGATGAAGGTTCTCTACTGTCATCCAAAAGACCTATCTGTCTCTTATGCACATGAGCATCAACAATAATCGATATCTGGTCCGGTTATATATCCTATGTCTAGGCCTAGCGACTGTCAAGAAAGCGATGTATGATGCATGTCTAGACGTCACATGACCATTGTGTCTGCGCATCTGGCCCAACCGTCCCCCGTAAATTTCCATCTTCGAGACAATATCCTGCATCCGATCCGATAAGAATCTCATCACGAAAATAAACGAACCCACACTCAATAGCAACCAACATCGAGACTCTGTCTGTCTGTCTACTTCTTGACACTTGAATCCCACGGAGAAGCGTCTCACCCAGCCGACGCCCACCCCAAAAGACAAAAACAAAATGACCACCCCACAACCCCCGACTACCCCAGATCAGCAACAACAGCAGCAGCAGCAGCAACAACAAGCCACGCTCCAAAGCCAGCGGGAAGCCGACTACCAACGCTTCAAGACCTACGCCGCCTGGACCTTCCTGGTTGCCTCCCCGATCCTCATCGCCCTCCCGCCGCGCAAGCTCGACAACCTGACCGTCCTCCAGCTCAGCGCCTTCTCGATCTCGGCCAACCACCTGACGCGCGAGCGCACCGGCCGCAGCATCGTCGACCGCCTCGAGGACAAGATCTCCGCCGGCCGCAGCCACCCCCTGGCCTCGCTGGGGAACGGGCTCCCCAGCGAGCGGGCGCTGGAGATCCAGGCCCGGCTGAAGGCGGACCGCGAGCGGCAGATCGAGGAGGCCAAGGGGGAGGAGCTGGCCAAGCTGAAGGCCCGCGAGGAGTTCGACAAGCCCGTCCTGCAGCGCGTGTGGATGGGTGGCGAGACCGAGGGGTGGAAGGAGCGGCGCCTGCGCGAGGAGCAGAAGGCCCTCGATGAGGGAAAGGGGTATGGGGATTTGATCCGCGAGCATATTTGGGATGTCTGGACTTGGGGGAAGGGGGATGGTGAGGGGGAGGGGGAGCGGAAGGGGGGGAAGAAATGAGGGGGTTTTGGATGGGACATAAGGGAGGATGTTGGTGATGATGGATCGTGATGATATCTCTACTTTTTTTGTTTCGGCGAGTGGTGATGTGTCTTTTTATGTACTGTATGTTTGGCGTTGGGGATTAAAAAAGGCTTTGGTTTTGGTGTGATGTATATTAGTTTGCTGGGGGGTGAAGGCTTGGGTTCTGAGAATGTGCATTTCGGTCGATGTCGCTTTTCGAGCTTGTACGCTGCTGCGCTGGGATTGTGGTGGTTATGTGATATATTACAAATGAATGACTGCATAGACATTTCATTGCAGTATAGTCGATGGTTTGCAGCGATGACCATTGCGCTTCATAGCTTATGGCATTGGATAGGTAATAGGTACACATAACGGTCAGCTTCCAACTAATATCTGTCAATGCAGATCAACGAGAGATCAGCTCTACTTAGTCTCTCAACCGGGCTCGCCGGGTCCGAGATCGACTAGTAATTCTGGCGACCTACTAACTAGCCTGCGCATTTCAGTTGCTCTCTGTCTTTAAATGAACGACCGTTTTCGACCCAGCGCAAACTAAGCCAGCACTCCCGCCTTGCGATGTTTTACCACTGGCGAAGGCTATTATGCATCGCCACTTGAGCATTTAGACGAATGAATATGGGCGTCAATGGTTGATGAGAACTCGAGAGGCTACCGTTAGGCATTGGCACCACACCACTCTTCTTACACCTTCCAAGCACTATACAAAAGATCACTCTCTTCTTATGACGCGATCTGACATGGGAATGTGCTCATGAGAGCCACCTGGGGTCCATCCGCACCTGACAGTGGCAAAGAGTGACATCAATTGGAAGAAGAACAATATTCGATGCGCCCAGCAATCTAGACCACCCATCCCGTTTCTTCAGGCAATCGTTTTGCTCGGCCGAAATTGCCTTTCAGCACAGAACCGCGGCCATCTCTTATCGTTTTGCCCAGCTTCATTGATTGATTGCTCTCACGAACAGCGTATCGAAAGGGAGCTAATTACGCTTGGGTCCCCGAGCTTGTGTGAGTTTTACGTAAGAGCTATGCGAGAAGCGGAGTAGGTTTCTCCGAATCGGAGGCGGCGGGTTCAGACTGGACCTGATGATGATGGAAGGAGACTGAAGTATACGTAGCGATTCTCAGTAAAGTGAAATCCATGTGGATGATCCTTAAAAGAAAGCACACCTGCGTTGCTATGCTGCACAAAGACTCCAGAAGCGATGAGCAGCAATTCCGTCTTGGCTCTGGCCCGAACGACGCTAGAATTTTAAGCGTAAGCTGGTAGTGCGGAATTGCAGTGAGCGGCTGCAGGAACCGTTGCAGACCACACTAAGCTCTACCAGGACTAGTGGCCATCCAAAACACGTGCCTCGCACACTGCTCCCAAGGGCAGATCCGGAACTGGGAACTTTCACGCTTCTTTCTCGAAAAACTGTAATCTCTCTTCGCCACACCGGTTCTCCTCATGTCATGGCTCCTCCAATCCTGGACTCGGCCTGAACGCAGAAGAAGTTCTTGGTTCTTCTACCCCTGTCATTTAAAGCTTGTATCAACACGAATGACTAATTCGCATGTTCAATCGCAGTCCCCATCTTACGGGCCAAGTGGAGGCCGTCTTCGGAAATTCACCATAGAGCGGCACGCGTGCGGTGGGGAGGATGGCACGCTTAGCGTCAAAAGGGAATGGTGCCAATCCGCTACCCGATGTCGTGATGGCGATTGCACACTGCGGCGACGGTGGGTAGAAAAAAAAAAGTGGTTCTCCGCGCGAGGCCGATCGGTGGCAAGCTGCGCGGTTCAATCGGTTGGTCGCCTGCCTGCCTTCGATTGATATAATTGTCCCCCGGTGTTCCTTCTCTCCAAGACATTTCCCCCCCCCCCTCATCCCACATTTCAGCTTTTCCCCCGGACTTCCTCTGCCTGTGAGCACCTGCACCACCTTCGGCGCAAACGATGTACGACTCTTCAGTCTCCGCTGCGGAGAATAAGATTGAGCATCATGGAAGCGGTGATCCGAAGGTGCCCAACTATTATGGCGAAGAGGATGGTCCCCCGGTAAAAGGGGAGATGGAGCTTAACGTGGGTGGCCGTGGTGCCACTCAGCGTCGACTCAAAAACTACCACATCAGCATGATTGGATTCTGCGGTGGTATTGGAACTGGTCTCTTCGTCGGAGCCGGCTCTGCCTATGCGAAATCAGGGCCGGCCGGTTTGTTGTTGGCATACATTGTCGTGGGGTTTGTGCTGTGGTGTGTCATGCAAAGCATCGCCGAGCTGGCGACCGTCTTTCCTACTGCAGGCTCCTTCCCCCACTGGGCTACTCGGTTCATCGATCCCGCCGTCGGTTTCTCTCTCGCCATCACTTACGGCTATTGTTACACCATTGCCATTGCTTCGGAGGTCTCCGCGGCCGCGGTCGTGGTGAGCTACTGGTCAGACATAACACCGGCCGTGGTGATAACAGTCGGGTTGGCACTGATCTTGATTATCAATCTGATGAGTGTCCGTTTCTATGGCGAGAGTGAAGTCGTGACAGGTGCCATCAAGGTCTTGTGTTTCCTGGGCTTGGTGATCGTGGCCATCGTGATCACCGCAGGCGGCGGCCCGAACCACGAGACCATTGGCTTCCGCTACTGGCACAACCCTGGTCCCTGGACCAACTACAATGGCATTACAGGACCAACTGGGCACTTTCTGGGATTCTTGTCAGCCTTCGTCAACGCCTCTTTCAGTTTTGTTGGAGTCGAGACTGTCGTCATTGCCGCCGCCGAAGCTATGGACCCGCACCGCGCCATCCCCAAGGCTGCCCGTCGCGTTACCTACCGCATTGCCTTCTTCTACATCCTCGGAGCCCTGCTCATTGGAATGATTGTCGATCCCCGGACCTCTGGCCTCACCTCTGGCTCTGGCAATGCCAACAGCTCTCCATGGGTCATCGCCATCAAGCAGGCCGGCATCAGTGGTCTCCCCTCGGTTGTGAATGCCTGTGTTTTGATCTCTGCCTGGTCTGCCGGTAATTCGTACTGCTGGGTCGGCTCACGCATGATCGTAGCCATGACCACCGATCACCAACTCCCCCAGTTTTTTGGCAAGGTCACAAAGAAAGGTGTTCCGTATGTTGCAGTGGTCGTCTCCTGGCTCTTCGGCCCTCTGGCCTATCTGAGTAAGCATACCTTACCAGTTCACTATCAAAATATTCATCTAACCAAAATTCTGCTTAGGTCTCGGAAGTGGTGGTCCTTCTCAAGCCTTTACCTGGCTCCTTAACCTTAGCACAATCGCCGGCTTAATTGCTTGGGCGACTCTCAGCTTTTGTTATATTCGCTTCCATCGGGCGATGAAGGTCCAAGGCCATAGTCGCGATACCCTCCCTTGGCAGGGCCCATTCCAGCCCTACACCGCGTGGGTGGGATTCATTGGATCCACCATTATCACTCTTGTGGCTGGATTCCCTGTCTTCCTCAAGGGGAACTGGTCTACCTCGGACTTTTTCGCCTCGTATGTTGGCATTCCGATCTTCATTGTGCCAATCATTCTCTGGAAGATCTTCAAGAAAAGCAAGGTTAGTCCCACTTCATCCCTCTTGTTTCGCGAGTAGACGCTAATAGGTTGCTTTAGTTTGTCCGCGCATCTTCTCTGGATCTCTGGTCTGGCCGCCTCGTGGAGGGCGAGATCATTGTCAAAGACCACGGACCCCGGACGCCCCTCAAGCGCTTTGTTGACTGGATCTTCTAAGTACATACACATGCTGTTGTATATAGACTTGTATATACCTAGACGGTGATACCCACTAGACTTTTTTTTTTCCAACCCTTTTTTGGCTCTATCCTAGTATACATAGTATCACTCCACTATAATTGGTATCATTTTCGCGTAGTGACTTTTGAGTTATTTGTACATATGTTGTGGTTGATAATCATTGAAAGTGTTGTCGGAGCTTGGCGATGTCATGATGCGACGCTTTGCAGCACCCACCCGCGAGGATCGAGCTGAAGTGGCCGCCAGCACGAGCGTCATTGACAACCTCTGCAAGTTGAACTTCCCACGGACGCTATTCATCGTTAGTGCACATGCGCAACATGAATCACGAAAGTCAAGTGTGAGAACTTGACGGACGCCATGACCACAGCTGAAAACATGAAAGAGAGAGTGTGTGTGTGAGAGACATACCGAATCCGCAGCACCGGGTCCTTCGACCTTCTTCTCCCACACCTGGGTAGTGGTATTGTAGACCTCCCCCTGCGTGCCATCGGGATACAACACCAGGGCAGGCTTCGCCCGCGCCCCCTCCTTCCCAAGCACCTTCTCCACCCCCTCCCCGAACAACTTCACCAACCGGCCCAGCCGATGCACCTTGGTGCAGTTCATCCCAATGCCCCAAGGCTTCGGCTCGGGCCCACTCAACGCCGCCTCCACGACCGCCTCCACCGCACTCCCATCCGGCAAGGCATCCTGGCCCTCGACGGGGAAAACGCACACCACCCAGAACGGGATCCCCATCGCCTCCAACCCGGCCGCCCTCGCCGCCCGCCGCACCGCGCGCACCTCATCCAACCGCGGCACCGTCTCAAACGCCACATACTGCACCTTGTCCTCCAACCTTTGACCGTCGTCGTGCTGCACCGCCTCCACGATCAACCGCAACCTCTCCAGATGCCACCGAAACAGACTCTCCTCGTCATCATGCTCGGCATCATACGCCCCGCTATACTCCTGTCCAGGGATCATGCACGCCCCGTACGGGCCCAGGCTCAGCGCGATCTTGGCGTTTGATCCTCTAACGGCGTCGGCCGCCACAGTCAGCGCGGTGCGGATGTACGGCGCGATCGCATCGCGCGGGATCCCGTCCGGGTGGGAGGCGGTCTTGGTGCGCGCGAACCCTTCGATGGAGACTTGATAGGTCGCCGTCAGGAGGACGTCGCTGCCGGCTTCGATGAAGGCGCGCTGGCAGGCGAGCAGGGTCGGGGGGGAGGAGATCAGGAGGTGCGAGGACCAGAGCGGGGTGGTGGTTGAGTTGAAGGTTGTCGCGTGGTGGTCTTGGAGAGTAGTTCCCAAGCCGCCGTCGAGGATTTGGACTGGAACTGTTGGGGTTTGGGTTTGGGGCGGCATTTTGGTTGTGTTCTGTGGGTTTGTTGGTGTAGAGGGAGGACGAGGTGTGGGAGGGAGGGAGGAAAGATGATGGTGAGGAGAGAAGAACTTATGGAATGTGGAGGCCCCACTTGCGATAACGCTGTGTTTAGCGGGCGGGAGATTAGTGGGGTGCGGTACGTACTGCTGCTGTTGCAGTTCTTAGCCTGAGGCCCTAAGCGGACACTAAAGCGGTAGGTTGTCCGTCTTAGTACCGTGGACCTTAAGCAGTTTCGATAACACAACACACTCTTGGAGTAGAGCTTCTATCCATCACCTATCCGGTGTCCTTCGACATCACTCCTTGAAGGTCTACAGAAGCAACGAATGGCTGGATCTCTACAGGCCCAGAGCAGCCATGGGCTTATTCTCTTGCACAGCTGAAAGGTGCACTGCCATCAATTGCCAACGACAAGGACACAGACCTATGTCTCATCGCTGCCATTAGCGTGGTATATTGCTCGCACATAGAGGCACTTGATCCTGCCCCACTGACTACTTTCTCTCCCTGGTACTCTCGTAACTGATCTTGCAGTCAGATCCGTTGACTCATTGATGCCGCTTGCCGAAACATTGCCTCGTAAATATGGTGCCAAATGAGGAAAACTGAGACACTGTACATCCAGATTCTCAAATCCCTCTATCGGATGGTTTCACCAATGCGTTTGCTTGACAATCGCCTGCTGTGCCCGAGTGAAGCACCAGTCGATTTGGACAGATGCTCGCAGATCAACGCCTGCTCATCATCGTGACGACGCCGAGGCACGTTCTCGCTCTACCGCGCAGAGAATCAGAGTCCCCGACTTCCTTCCTGCACATCGGTCAATATATCATACTATAGTGACCGTTCACTTTGCATGATTCAAGACGGTTTATCGAAGTTCCAAGCTTGGAGGAGTGTGGTACGGTAGGTCCCTTGGATCTCTCACCCAATGCCGAATACACATCTTAGTGGATCAGTCCTTCGTCTTCAAAGATGCACGATATTTCAAAAGTCATTGGTTCTTCGACGTGTACAGGTCACGTCACAGGAAAATTCCCTTGCCTGTTTACTGTTAGTTACGAGGCTATGCCATGCCTTCGTAGTCATTTTTCAGGCAACAGATGAAACCTGTCAAATCCATTATCCGCCGCACCAAACGAGGAGAACAGCGAAGTGCAATGCTGACCAGCAATGTAACCATTCAGTCCAGGATTACTTTGGTGGTTTACAAGATGAGCAAGGACCCTCTTACTGGGCTGCATTGGTTGACAGATGCTTCCACCCGATTCTCCCGCCAGATACGAAGAATTTTTCACCTCGAAGACACGTCGATCCTCTCAACATAAAAGCCCCGCCCACTCTCAGCAAGGCTTGCCATTTTTATCAGCACTAGTATTGCATCCCGCCTTTGAAATTCTGAGTTTGACGCAGCCTGAGCGACTACCTGAGGGCGCCTAGATCAAATCCTCATACGAGTGATTGAAGTGTTTGCAGTCCATCATGAGTTCTTCGTTTACAACTCAATCTGACTCTCTCCAATCCCCAGTGGCTTCCTCGGTGATCTGCCGGACTCGGACTGGGTCTTCGCAGCCCTCCGTTGGAGCTTTTGAGGTCTCCGAGGAAACTTTGCCAGTTCCTCATGAGGCTCCGACTTATTCTCCCCAGTCTCTCGAAAACCCGAGGGAGCCGACTCCACCGCCTGCCTATGAGCATGAACTCACCAATAATTCGCCTCCATGTAGGCTTCCCACCAAAATGTCAGCCGCTCCCATGGACGTCGAAGAACAACGACTCCCTGGCATTCTAGTCTACGAAGTCAGAATCTACCCTCATCCTCTCCGTGTCCGGAATGATGTAGACGAGAAGTGGGCTTCCAGGTGCACTATCTACACCCTCACAGTTCTTTGCTTGTTCATGGTCTTCTTCAACCTCGCCACCTACTATCAAGACAAGCGCGATCATAACATCAACAACGAAGACAATGACCGGTGCTCAAACCAGCACGACACGGCGCTCGGCTTGGCTTGCATCCTGGGCCTGCTGGGAGCCGACCATTGGTATGCTCATCGTTGGCTGCTTGCCGTCCTCAAGTCGATGTGGGCATTTTTGGAGGCTGGGCGTTTTCTTATTTACCGCTATGGCGGCAAATATGATCCTCATTCCGCGGGTACTCCTCCAGGCTTGTTTTGGCTGTCCACAATTTCGTTTCTGATGATGATCGTCACTATTTTTTGGTGGCCGATCGATGCGATGCTTTGGGGAACGGGTGTGTATTCGTGTGGGGACTCGCCTTAGTAGCGCTCTTCGCTTGCGCCATCGGTCTCAGCATCCAGCGGGATCAGGATGAGAGCCTGGAGCCCCACGACCAGTGCTACAAGAAGCAGGAGATCGGCGGCTATCTCGCCGGGTTTCTGGGCTTGATCGGCGGCGTCGACCAGTGGTATGCCCATCACTGGGCCCTGGCCGTCTTCAAATCGAGCTGGGTGATTTTGGTGCTGGTCAGGATTTTCTTGGCTTCTTTTGTCGAGTTCGATCCCCCCCTCAACCTCGATGACCTGGACATGGCCTGTTTTCTTGCAGTGGTTGTGACCTCGCTCTGGTGGCCGGTCGATACGGTGCTTTGGTTGAAGGGGGTCTATAGTGTGCCCGGTTGTGAGGGTGGGGGTGGCTTCTAGTTCCTCTCAGTCTTGATGGGGGCTTGGAGTCGGTATGGCTTTGGGCGTGATTTGCGGTCTTGGGGTGCTATGCTCTTCTCAGGTTCTTTTGCTCTTGATTAACTGCCGTTCTGAAGGTCAGATATCTTGGTTATGTTGGGGCTTAGCAAGAAGATCAGAGAATTAGAAAGTAAAAAAAAAAAAGAAGAAAAAGAGGAGAAAAATGAAAAATGAAAATTGAAAATTGAAAATTACAAAAAAATAAACGAACTCCGAAATTGATACTACTACTCAAATGAACTCACAATCCAATGTGACTCCTTGAGTCGATTTGCATGGTCTTAATACAATACTTCTTCCATGCCTGAGTCCTGCCGCCTTGGCGCTGGTTATGCTTTAATTCCAGGTTTCCACCTCAGGCTGTCCCTTTGCTCAAGCTAACCGTTCATTCTTCCTCCCAACTAGTAATCTCAGATATGGCCACCCAGGATCATGATCAAGAAACAAGTCTGAGACTCCGCAAACACTGCCGTTATAATCTCAATACAATCAAGAATAAAATCTGCCAGCTACAGACCGACCATATCGACCAACACGATGCCCAAAATGCGGGCATCCAACATCGCCCAATGTCACTGGAATCCCAGGCCGAACTCCCCTCCTTTTTCGGGGCATGGACAGAGGAAGAATGCTGGTTTCCGCCTGATGAGGAGGACTCAGAGTATCCAACCTACAACCCGAAGTCGGATGATCGACTGAAAACAATGGGACTCCATTACTACTTGGATAGCTACCTTGGCGGCGCATGGCCAGCGGACGAAACAAGCTTCCGAATCTTGTAGATAAAGAGTAAGCCCTGTCTCCCTTTTGTTCTGGGCACTCGCGCCCGCTGTTCCAAGCTAACCCCTTTCCCTTGTTCTAGAAGGGCAGATCCCCGTCTGAAGGGGCTATACGAACTTCCCAGTGTCGACGGCCACTCGTGGCAGGCGTCTCTCACCTATATCGCGCGTTCCGACGAAGAAAGCAGATCATCGCCGCCTCACTTCAGATGTCTTCTGAGAAGCGAGGTTGCGGGGGATGAGCGGCTCCTTCAGGGTGAACTTATCACCATTATCGACTCGATGATCAACCGGCTGAGCTTCAAGTCCACCTTGCCTCATACAATAGCTCCTGTAAGGTTCCTGTCCTCTTCTTTCTCCTGTTGAAACAGACGGTGATATTCTCGCATGGCGCCCTATGCTTTGAAGGTGGTTGGACGGTATTGTGCTAATTCAGCCCAAACATTGCAGGTGATGGTATATTCCCTTATGCATACCCAGCAAGTTCGCATCCTGGAGGCCTGTTTCAATGGCGAAAACCTTGTGGTCAGCTCGACTAAACTGTACGACATGATGACCGAGGACACGGAGAGCCTGAAATTATTCCTTTGATGGTGGTTGGGCCCTCCCATTGGTGACACAAAGTCAATCAAGGAAATATCGGTTTCCTGCTAGCAATTCATTTCTTGGGATGATGCATTATGTGGGCGTTGCTGGTTATTATAGTTGGAGGGCAACCTGGATTTTTTTTTTGGCTTTTTCTTTTTCTTTTTTTTCTTTTTTCTTTTTTTGCAGTGCAAGTGCGCGGTTTCTGGGATGTTGACGGCTAGGCCCCTGCAACGGGACTATTCCGTTTGCCATTCGACAAGCATCGGTCTTCTAGATCAGATCTCGCGCCTTGAGGGTGCGTTGCCACCTCTGGCCGTTCCTGGTAATTGTATACCATATCGGGCAAGTGCGGACAGAACTTGCAGAAACTCTTGATTGGAATGCGATCATCCTTCCTCTTCTCGGGATCTACTACATCGACCGCATGATCTCTTGCACCAGGTGATCTGCACCCTCCTCTTTTCTTTCATACTCGTTCAAGAAAAAGGTTTGTAGTATGACGCAGCCACTGCGGCCTGATGCATGTCGAATGATGGAAAAAGGAAACAAAATAAATAAGGTAAGCAACTCGTGGGACGCGTTACGTGAAGTCCCTGATATACTGGCTCCGAACTGTGACCGAAAGCTTGCTATTAGGCTAACCTTTGGCGGTTTTCCTTGGAGCATCTTATAACAGTACAACCAGAAGGAACTTTAAGAGTTTCTCGAGCGGTCTAGTCCGAGCTTCCCAGGAATGAGCAGCTCAGGATTCGGCAGGACTATTATTGCCGCAAAAATAGTTACCATCCAGTCAGACAGCCTTTCGGCAGCGGATGGACCCTGAAGTTAGACTTCAATGACGTTGATGCCTTGCCAGCAGGTGTCATGTTGATGCAGCTGCGAGAAAACAGCAACTCGTGGCATCTTGTGCCCTCCCCCAACGGTAACGAGTTTGCCCCTTGCGCGCCGCTTACACGCCATGAGGAATGTGTCGCGCACTTGCAGGCTACAATGCCGTCACACCTCCACAGAAAGCAACAGCACATATTACCTCCTCGTATCCGCCCGGAAAATGTCTTCTTCACAGCATTTAGCATCAACTTGTTTTGATATCGTCGTATCAATTCCCTCAAAATGGGTTCAGAAGCTTCTCCGGGCCGGCTCCTCCACCAGGTGGTGGACGAGTTGGCAGAAACTCAACCAGATCAGCTGTACTGCATTCATCCAGTCTCCATGAAATCGGCCGATAATTGGCGAAGCATCACCTACCAGGATTTGGCCCATGCTGTCAATCGCATTGCGTTCTGGATTGACCAGCAGCTGGGCGATCGGGCCAAGCAGAAGCGACATGTCCTCGCCTATATAGGGACCAATGATGTGCGATACGCGGTGTTTATATTGGCCTGCATGAAAACAGGAAACACGGTTCGTGGAATCAGGATTTCCTCCCATAAATTAGAAAGCTCATTCAACATAGGCATTGCTTCTCTCCACCCGGAACTCTCATTCCGCATTCCAGCATCTGCTCGACGCCACAGATTGCTCAGTAATGGTCGACGCCAGCAACAAGCAGCAACTGCGACAGATGTTGGATAAGGTCAAAAGGAACCGCTCAGAGGGGTTCCAGAAATGGCTCATGCCGTCACTCTGGGAAGTCTTCCAAGATGCGCCAAGTGACAACTACCCCTACAAGTACGAGCACGATTTCGCCGCCGCCGAGGATATATCCCCGGTTATCTTGCATAGCTCCGGAACAACAGGGAAACCCAAGCCTATCAACATAACCCATGGTTATTTCGCCACTCTTGAGAATATCCGGACCATCTCTGTGCCAGAGGGACGAAAGCTCGCCCAAGCTCATGTGCGAGCGAACGGGAGATTACGGTTTCACTATGGTCCCATGTTTCATTTTGTCGGCCTGGTCTGCATCACCGAGTGTATTTATTTCAAGACAGCATTCGTTCTTGCACCCGACCGTCCGTTGGACCCTGATCTATTTGCGCAGATCATGTCTGCTCATCATCCCAAATGGACATTGGTAGCTGCACCTGTCATTGAGGACCTTGGGAAACAGGAGAGCGGCCGGAAAGCGTTGTCACAATTCGAGGACGTGGCTTTTGGCGGAGCGCCCATGTCACAATCCGCTGGGGACCAATTGTCATCGCTGACACGTCTACAGACTGTGCTGGGGAGCACCGAGACGGGATGGACGCCCGCTTTGCTCTGCGAGGATCCAGCCGATTGGTGTTATCTGGAATGGGTTCCCGCCTTCGGGGTGCGGATGGACGAAGTCGAGAAAGGGGTCTTTGAATTAGTGATTCCCAGGCCCGAGTCACGCAAGTATCACGGAATCTTCTATTCCTATCCAGATCTATCTGAGTACCGCACGGGCGATCTTTTCACTCCACATCCAACGAAATCTGGTCTTTGGCGTTTCAGCGGCAGAGGCGATGACATCCATGTCATGAGCAACGGGGAGAAGTTCAATCCTATCGAAGCTGAGAAGATCCTCGAGAGACACCAACTGATCAGCCGCGCGGCCATCTTTGGCCAGGACCGTCATCAAGCCGCATTGCTTCTGGAACCCGCGTGGGATAACCTTCCCGAGGACTGGACCGAGGGATGGCTTCGACAGCAGCTTGAGTCACTTTTGGATGAGGCCAATGAAGCACTCCCTGCTTATGCACGTATTTTCGACACTCACATAGCTCTTACATCTCGCGATAAACCGTTCGCTCGATCCCCAAAGGGATCCTTGCGCCGTCGCGAGATTGCCAACGATTACAAGTCCGTCCTGGACTCTTTGTATGAGTCTGGAGACTCTAGAACTTCTAAAGTGCACGATGCCAAGGTTGGAGCATATCCTGAGGGCTCGGGTGGAGACGCACTCAAGCAGTGGCTCTTACGAGTGTTCTCCCAGCGACTCCGGTTGAAGGATGTTGGCGAGAATGATGATCTAGTTGGTAGCGGGATCGACTCACTGCAGGTAACCGAATTGTCGAGAATGTTGCAGCATGCATCAAAGAAATTGCACCCCTCTGGGAAAGCTATGGTTTGGTCAAGCAATGAGATTTACCAAGCAGGCTCCATCCAAGGTCTTGCCGACAGACTTAGTCGACATGTTGGTGGTGATGAGTCAAGCAAAAAGAGCTCAGATGCCCAATGGACGCGAACCGATCGGCTTGTCCATTCTGTCTGGGATCACTCTCGATATCTTGGCCACGGCGGTACCACGGTCGTGCTAACGGGCTCGACGGGTGATCTCGGTAGTCGCCTGCTCCATCAGTTGTTGCAAATCCCGTCGGTTGCAGATGTATATTGCCTCAACCGCAGCGCCGATGCAGCTGACCGCCAGGTGAATAACTTCCAGGAAAGGGGCTTGTCAGGTGGGTGGATCACAGAAACCTCACGGGTTCACTTCTGGCAGGTCAGCCTAGGCGATGAAATGCTGGGGCTAGCACCTGCTCGGTATCGTCAGCTACGGGACACAGCAGATGTCTATATTCACAACGCCTGGCCAGTTGATTTCCATAAACCTTTAAAGGCATTTGAAGACCCTATGCTTAAGGGGCTGCGACGCCTCCTGAACCTGGTTGAGGAGTCCCCTCGTCAGGCTCACTTGCACTACATGTCATCTGTTTCGACGGTCGGGGCATGGCAAGCATCACATGGATCAACAATTCCTGAAACACTGCATGAGGCCTCGGCGGTGCAAGAACTGGGATATGCTGAGTCGAAGTTCGTGGCCGAGTCCATGTGCGGAATCGCAGCCCAGCGCAGCAACCTTCGTATCAGCATTCACCGCATTGGTCAGCTGGGCGGTCCCTCATCTCCCAGAGGAGGGATGTGGAACCCGCGGGACTGGTTTCCGTCGATGGTCCGCTCGTCATTTACCATCGGCAAGGTCCCAGATGCTTTGGGAGCAATAAAGGTTAATTGGATCCCGATTGTAAGTTCTTGAGCTTCCGAGCGACACATCTTGGCATGCCTTTGAACAAGATTCGGCGGTTGCTGACATTTCAATATACAGGACCTAGCTGCTCAAGCTATTGTGCAGATAGTTCAACGCCGCCACGAGGAGCAGAATCTTACCGGACTCAAGGTGTACCACGTTGTCAACCCGGAGCCCAAAGATTGGGAGTTATTTGCTCCCCTGGTGGCTAGAGCGTGCAAAGCCAAGATGGTTCCGCTTGAAGAATGGGTCAATGAATTGCAACAGATCTCGGATGATGCAAGTCACGAACGTCTCGAAAGTCTGCCGGCTATTCCATTGCTGGGGTTCTTCAAGAGCCTACTTGATCAACAAGGTGCCAATGCCGCACCTTTCGAAACGACAAACGCGATTGCCCATAGTCAAGTCATGGGCACGATTGGGCCTGTCGATTTCGAGCTGTACAAGACGTGGTTGCAACAGTGGAAAGAACGCTGGCTTCCGGATCTTGATATTTGAGCAGAGATGTTGTAGATTTATGGTAGACCTGTATTGAGGTTGGCTGATGTTTCAATTGTAACACAATTACTCGCGTTGTATCTAAGAGCAAAGCCGGTAGTTGCAGCGTGCTCGGGTTACACCACTAAGATGCCTGAGACAGATTCTGTGTCATCTCCGCAGCGGGTAAATTTGATTGACAGGGCAATGCCGATGATCCCCTGATCGAAAGATAATGAGTGACAGAATCCAGACCAGTCGACTAGAAACTGGTGTTTCATCCAAAGACATGAGTCTGGCGCGCGGCTTCCGCCCCCAACCGCGCTAATGCCCGTTATCACATTGGGGATGACAATGGGTAGTACATCTCGTTGCCAAACGCTGCAGAGGGATTTCATGCACTTAGTTGATGGTCGACTTTCCCACTCCTCCCAGATGAACCCAATGTCCAGAAACCTAGAACACTGGGCGCCACGAGGGATACTTTCCTTCCCGTACGCATCAAGCAGGTTTGCCGCCGCGCAAGCGGTGTGTGGCTTTAGCCCCCGAGTCCGCGCCCCGAGGCGTGCACACAGCCACACCTTCAAGAGCGAGCCGAGCCATTTCCTTCCCAAAACGGGGAGCCAAAAGAAATAGCCGAACTACCGATAATTGCCTCGACGGGGTGACTTTGGGTTCATCAACTTAGGCCCCGAAATTCACCTCGATCAAGTTACATAGTACTCTGGACTACGGGGTACTCCGTAGAGAGCTCGGGGTCACCGCAACGGTAACTTACTTGTGAGGGTTTGTTTCAACAACGGTCAGCCAATGATCGCGTAGCCGGGGGGAAAATGTTTCTGCCTCCAGAGGACCCAGTCACCAGTCGCCAGTCACCAGTCACGCAGTCACCTAGAGGCAAAACAATGCAAGGGCTCAATTCGGCTCTGCTGATCCGGAGTTCATTGTTGGGGGGGAAATTCTCGAATCGTTCCACCAGAATACCAGTAGGTGGTTTCAGGGACCAACCACCCAGCCACAGACAGGATAGGCGGCACCATTCTTGCTAAGAATAGCACGTTCTTCTGTTGCACGACGTCCGACTCCACGGGAATTCACTGACGCAGTGACGCCTCCCCAAGAAACCCAGACGAGCAGCGAAAAGCTTTTCCATCGACCTCGGAAGCTTGACGGGGGGGATTCTTCCTCGATAGTGGTTCTTGGCATCGCCCGGCGGAAAAGCCCGGGCGGGAAAACGAATACGTAGAATACACGGTACGGAGTACGGGCGAAAAATTGAGGCTGCCTGATTTTTTTGTTTTCCTGCAGTGGCCTGGTTGATCCGAAGAAGGGGGGTTGGCGGTCTTGGCGGTTGAGGGGAGTGGGGGGTGGGAGGGGTGGAATTGCGAATCGGGTTGAGGTTTGGCGGGAGGTGCTGCTCTGCTCTGCTCTGCTGTGCTCTGCTCTGCTCTGCTGTGCTCTGCTCTGCTCTGCTCTGCTCTGCTCTGCTGTGCTCTGCTCTGCTCTGCTGTGCTCTGCTCTGCTCTGCTCTGCTCTGCTCTGCTCTGCTCTGCTCTGCTCTGCTCTGCTCTGCTATGCTGGGGTGATGGTGAGGGTGAGGGTGAGATGGTCAAGTGGGAGGTGTGTGTGTGTGTGTGTGTGCGTGCATGATCATCTGGTGCTATTGGTAAGTTAGATGCATGGCTGTACGCGCTTGAGTACTACCGGTACGTATGTACTCATACGGAAGAGTTGAGCGATTCTAAGTTTAGACAGAGAGAAGATTGCATTGCTGGGTAAGTGATTCTGTACTTGCAGTGGTAGACTAGTGGTAAAAGTGCCCCAGGGCCTTGCTGCTGCCCCACCTGTAGAAACGCAAGCGCGGCAGGGCTGAGCCGCTGACGTGGAGCATCTCGTGGCTGTGACTGGCTGTGCTGGTATAATACTGTTACCGTACTGTATGCTCAACCAGTGCACTGCACCATAGGGCGGCCCAGGATGGGTCGGACCCCTGACCCATTAAAACCGAACCAAACCAAACTTACCTAGGAAACTAAGATCCCATCCATTGACAACTGCCCAGCCCAGTGAGTGAACCTACCTTGAAGAACTCTCCAACATAAATACCCTTGCAGTGCCCGTCCGTGTCAGCTTATCCCCGTCTCATCTCACCTCCCTCTCTCTCAGTCTTTATCTTCATAGACTAAGATACAAACAAACCTACCTACCTTACTCGCCTCCACCACACCTACAATCAACACAACTTACTACCAAAGATCAAAGATCAAGATGTTCAACCTCTTCACCTCCACCAAGAACTCCACCCCCGCCGACGGCGCTCCCACCTGGAACCCCAACACGGCCACCATGATGCCCACGACCATGCAGCAACCCTCGAGCCCCCAGGCCCCGTCCACCGAGCGCGTCGTCACCGAGCAGCCCGTGCGTTGTCCTTGCCCTTGCCTGCACCAACCCCCTCTTCCCCGCAGCCCATGTTTCCCCTAAACAAAACAACAAGCTAATATCTGGCGCGCAGTCCACCCAAGAACAAATGCAGATGAACCTCCGCGGTGGTGGCGGTGGCGGCGTGTGCTGTGGCGTGTATGTTCTTCCGACCCCTTTCTTTTGTGTGGGTAACAAGCTAACGGCTACCGGGGCGAAATAGTTGCGCGGGGTTGTTGTGCTTTGAGTGCTGTGAGGAGTGTTGCTAGACCTGATCTTTCTGGGTTTCATTTCGATTTGAAGGGGGTGACGGGATGACGGGGAGTGCGATGAGGTCGTCTTCGATGTGGGGATGGGATGATACTTGATGCGTGCGATGGTCGATGATCGATGAGATAGACGGTTGTGGTTGATGGGGCTTGCGCAGGGCGGAGATCGATGCGATTCTGGTCTTCGGGTTTGCGGCTGGTGTACAGGTGCTGGTGTTGCCTGTTGTGTTGGTGTTGGTGTTGATGTTGATGTTTATACCCCTACCTTTTTTCTGTATACGTTCTACATGGTTATGAGAGATATCTTTATGCATGTTTTTACTCTTAAGTGGGGTTTTGCTCGGAGGGAGGGAGGTACATTGGTTTTGTGGGGGTGAGTACTGCGTTATGCTGTGCTGTGGATATGCGGAGACAGCGTAGAGTAACGAGATGGTTTTGTTTTTTTTTTTTTTTGCTGAGATAATGGAATATCAAAAGACTAATGAAATTATGAACCAATTTCGCAATCATCAGATGAAAGACAAACTGAAAATGAAACACGTAGTACTATTTTGTAAATGCATAAGGGCGGAGAAGGAATTTCAAGACCAAGTGAAGATCACAAATGAGAAACACTAGCACAAAGTGTCAATTCAAGACGCAACTCTCCCTCCAAGTGCCAGCGTCCTGAGAATCCATAATAGGTCGTCGCAGATGAGGATTCAACCCATCCGTTATGATCACCAGACGGGGCTTCTGAACGTGTAGCTCGTATCGATACCAGCAAGAGTGGTCTCGTTGTCCGGCTCGTACAGCGGTTCCACGTTGCCGGCTTCATACTTGATAGTGCCATCCTGAAGCGTGCCGGAGACGCGGACCACCCCGCCGGTCAACTGATCCAGAACCTGGTGGTAGGCGGACCCGGAAGCCACGCTGCAGCGATTGCTCCCGGTCTCCATGTGCGCGACCAGGTCCGACGAGCGTTTGAAGTTGCGGAAGCATCGGGGGCATCTGTTTGTACGGAAGTGGTTAGTCTTGTACGAGTCAATGAAAGGGACAGAGAAAGATGAGGTCGCACCCCAGTGGTTTCCTATCGCGCATCTCCTCAATGATATGCGTCTCGAAATCCTCCACCCGCTTGTAGCTCACGCGACAGTGGCACACGTAACGCGTACGACACATGTTCAGGAACTTGCTCGAGTCCCAGCCCGGGGTGATCTCGCGGAGGATCTCCCCGGCCGAGACGACTGGCTTGCCGAAGAGGCTCCACTCCATTGTCTGGTCGTGCTCGAGCTCGGTGGCTGTGGGGAGCGGGACGAGCGCACTATCGCTGGCGTCGGGGTCCGCGTCGTCCAGCGAGAGTCGCGACATCGCGGTCGCCATGCTCTTCTCGGTCTTGTTGGAGGGGGACGACGGGATACTTTGTTGCTGCTGCTGGTGCAGCGGGCAGGGAGAGTTCATTACCGACGTTTCTGCACCGGGGCTGGGATTAGTGCTGGTGGGTGATTTCGCGTCGGGGGTTTTGTTTCTTGGACTTCTTCTGGGGCTGACGGGGGACTTCAGCGGAGTCCCATCCAGCATGACACCACCGTCGTCGTTGTCGAGATCCTCGGGCCGGATGGGCCGGTCACCGTCCAGGATCTCGGCGATCATCAGACGGGTCTCCTGCTGCTGGAGCAGGCGAGCCCGTGGGATTCTGCGACAGCCGTTGCTCTCGATGTGCTGCATCAGGGCGCTGGCGGATTTGAAACTCATGGTGCAGCCGCGACAGTCGATGGTCTGTTCTGCTCGATGGTTCTGTCGCCGATCAAGTATTGTGTCAGTTCTCAAACTGGTTCATTCTCGCTCTGTTCTAGCAGCCAAAGAAAGTGTTTCTGGTCACTTACCTGACGAATGTGGACGTCCCGGCCACCCGAGCTACGAAATTCCAGACCGCAGACGGGGCACACGATGTGCTTGACGCTGATGATTTTGTGGAGAAGTAAGCGCTCTTCATCCGGGAAATCTTCGTCGCACCGCTCGCAGTACTCGTGCTCGGTGATCTTGTGAATGTCCATGTCTCTTTTGCTGGGGAACTGCTTTCCGCACTTGGCATACGTGCAGGAGACTCTGGTGGGCTCGGAAGGCTTTGTGCTCGAGGGCCTCGCCGGCGTGTCGACTTTGGCAGAAGGCTGTGTGGTAGGAGGTTGTGTGGAGGCAGGTTCGGCGATAGGACGACTGGTGGGATCACGACCTCTGGTGATAGGGCCTGCAGCTGGACGACCTATTGCGGTGGTTGGTCCTGCAGCAGGAGGCTTTGCGCGAGAGGGTTCTGGGACAAAGCGACGAGGATTCAAGGGCTTGGTAACATTCGACCTTTCGCCGGGCTTCGCTGCAACTGAGGGACCTGCGGGAGATGATTCAGCCCCTGGTTAGTTTATATGCAAGGAACGTGACTTACTGGGCTTTCCACCAGACTTCACTACGGGAGAAGGACCAGCGCGAGGGCCACCTTTAATGGGACGACCATCATCAGGGGCTCCTGTGCGCGAGGGTCCTGTAGTAGCACGGCCTGCATTAACGGGGCCTGGTCCCGAGCGAGTGACACCGTAGCGGCTTGTGTTGGCGCTGGTCACCTTGGAAGGACCTGCCTGGTGGCCTGAACGAGCGGACATTTTGACTGAGTTTTGAACAGTTCAAATGGGTTTCAAAGGGGAGGAAGATAGGAATGTAGGCCACAATAGCCGCGGAGAAATAGTTGAGGGCTTGAAGTGAAATCTTCGATGTCACTGTTTGAGAAGATTGCAGTGGGAAGAAATGTGATGAATAAAAAGAACGAGGCAGCCGAAGGGATCTGGATAGAAGGTTGAGGGAGTGGAAGGTGAGTCAGTCAATGGGGTGGATGCGCAAGGATTGTGTGTTATGGAGGCCATCCTCACTTCACTATGACACACGCCCAACCTGGCGGGTGAAGGTAGGTGTCACTCGACGCCGGCTGTGAATTCTCTACTTTGCGCATTACTACTACCCATAGGAATGAAATTCATGCGCAGGAAGAGATGAAATATGGTACCTCTTTCAAATATTATTTACATGCATTTAAATTACTACCGCCTCCCTAGACTCACGTAATCATACTTAGAACCGTGAGAAAGGCAACCTGTCGTAGTCTCAGTTAGCAAGTCTCATGCAAGAATTAATTAAACAATCCTGTTGACAAACCATTTTCCTCTCAGAGTGATAACAGCCCAGTTGTTTCCAGCCTCATCCGTCTCCTTCTCCACCTTGGTGGAGAACGAGATGGCACTCATAATGCCATCCCCGAACTTCTCATTCAGAACAGCCTTGTACGCGTACCCGTAGTTCTGCACGATCTCATACAATCGGTAGATCAGCGGCTCCTTGGGCGGCATCTCGACCGAGCGGCCGCGATCCGGGAAGCCACTGAGCTGCTCTTCCAGAAGGTCGCGGGGAATATCGAGGAGGGAGGACAGCTTGTCGATGTCTTCAGGGGATGCCTTGGCCTGGCCGTAGAAAAGGGCGGCCGCGGCAACCTCGTTGCGACCGATGTGCTCGGCGATTTGCTCGAAGCTCAGCTTCTTCGATGCCTTGGCCTTGAACAGCGTCTCGGAGGCGGAGGGGAGGTAGGGGTGTTGGGAAACCTGGTGATGCGCTGCTGATTAGTACGTGCGGAAATGACTTCCCTGGTACAACGTCATCGACGTCGTGGGTTTTGTCCGGGACAACTTACGTCGAGGGTTGCGAGAGACATTGTGATGTTGGTTTGATGTTACAATCGAATAGATGAGGTCCTTTGGGGATAGGTCTCAGAGGGTCAATGGTAGCAGCGCAGGATTAGACAACAAGTGGTCAAGATATGGGCCGATGTCATTCTTAAATAATTGTTGCTGCTCTGGTTTCTCCAACTGCGGTGCGGGGTCCGTCTGCTGCGGGGGCCTGTCCGTGAGGGGCAGCGCTTGCTGCCATCCAAGGACGAACTTTAGGTTTTGACACAACATGACAGCGAAGATCTTATCTACGCGGTAAGTATATTTGGACTTTCTATCGCGGCTAGCCATTCTCAAGATCGCAGTCTTCGGTTCTCCCTGTCAGAGGCGTCTGACTTGAAGTACACCTGAAGAAATTTGGCAGCTTTGGCTGTTCCACCTCGGTGCGGGGTTGCTCTCCATCCGACGATACCGAGGGGCAATCAAAACAATGACGCCATCCTCAATAAGTTACCCTTTGGGTGGTCTCGCTCTGTCAGAACTCGAAAAATCTGATAACTTTGTGATCCAAGTCACAAATATCTGGTCTTCTCAACTAGACCATTGCTATGAATCTGGATCCCGGTGAACGATGATGGAATTAAATATATTCTGCACAATCTTCCGCAAAAAGACCGCGACAAGTGTACTTCTAGTAATGCCACAAGCCCCGGATATGACCGGCAAATCCTTTATAGTGGACTATGATCAAGGAAAGAAAGCTCTTTCTCGTTCCAAGCCCCTTATACTGGGGATGAAGTGCTAGACATACTGAGAAAAGCTGCGAGAATCCGGTTGGGTCATTGTTCTGGAATATATTTCCTCATTGCACAACGAATGACTTTTCCTGCTCAATCCATCCCCAAGAAAGCAGACAGGATTTCTTCTGCTTATCCCAGTAGAATTTAGTGCTGCTAGTCCTGGCTTAAAAAGCAGCATTCGCACACGGGCCTGACAGCAAATGAGTCCCTAATGCTCAGCGAATGCTCGCCAAGACACTGAATGCGATGTCATTCCACGCAGGACTCTTTCCCTGCTAGAATCGACGAACAATCTGTCTAGCTTACCACCCTAAGGATCCTCATCGCGAAAGCTTCGCGAAGTTCGAGAATCATTTGGCGGTGCATTCCAGTCTTCCAGAACATGAGGGTCGAAGGAGTTTTGCGCTAACAAGGAAGTGGATCCGACCGCGGAAAGCTGGTTGTTGTCCGACTTGCGGGTGGTCGGATAGTCGCGGATTTCACAGCATCAAACCGTCTTGCAAAGCACTGCTAAGATTCGTGAGCAGCTGCGTTAAATCGGCTTGAGACATTTGTATATTCTCGGTCTATGGAGTATATGACTACATATGTTATTGTCGTTATACCGATGTAAGTGGATCATGTCTCAGGATTGGCGACAACAAGCCCGCGTTATTCCCGTGTGCCAAGATCGCCCAGGACTTGAGCGTTCTAGCTCAACACTCTTAGCGCTCTCAGTGTAAATGTTGAATGGGCTTGCGCGACGCAATGCTCGGGACGAACGATGCGGTGTGGCAGAGCCACATAAGCCACAGTCAACAGAGGGGCTGGAATCACCGTATCATGCGTCATCAGAGGCTGTCAGGTAAAGGTCCGTACGGGTGTTGTTTCAAGCTAACTGGGGATTCCCCGCCATGATTGCCGGCACAGCCACACTGCAGCGATCTAGAAAGGCGATGGTGCATCGCCCCCGCCCTGCAAGGCAACATTCGATGTCGGTGGTTAAGATAGGATAGCAGCAGAAAGAAGTGCAAGTTAGATAGTGTTGACAAATAGCCGCCATGGCTAGCAGAGAATATTCGCAGCAGTAACTACCACCACCCGACAGTGGCCGAGCACAAGGAAACATAAACAAACCAACAACCTCGAACCCAGACGGAAGCCTAGAAGGTGGATAAGCTGGACTGGCGGGGCTGTCTTACCGTCGTGGTTTAGCCCCGTATTCCCCTAAACCGTATTCCTCCTGCCTCAGATGATCCCCTCCCCCACCCTCCGTGAGACTACATAATAATAACAACTATCCTTTCCCTCTCGTAGCGGTCAGCATCCTTTCTCTCTTATTTTTTTTTGGTCTATTGTTACACCATCTACCCTCCTCTCATATCCAGGTTTAACAGTCGTCCCCATGTCCCACCGTGAGGAAGACCTGGCCTACGGCCACTACTACGGCGACTCAGCGCGGGGCACATCCGGCGATACCGCGAGGGGATTTGTCGGCGACACTTTCCAAAAATTGAAGGAAACCTACAAGAGCCATCAGCAGCAGCAGGGCGGTACCAGCAACACGCAGCAGGTAAATCAGGAATCTCAGGCACGGTACCATTTTCAACTTGCCTTACTGACCACGGAGTTATCTACCCCAGAGCCAGAGCCAGTACCACCAAACCCAGTCTCAGACCCAAGGTTCCGCCCAGCAATACTCGCCGTCGTACGGAAACACCAGCCCGCAACAGTACCAGCACCAGCAGCCCACCTATCATCAGCAACCCCAGAAACCCCAGAAGCAGGACAAGCTCTCTGGATTGTTCGGAAAACTGGAGAACCTCGGAAATGAGTTCGCACAGAAGATCGGAACTGCCTTGGACCCCCAGGCTTATGAGCAGTATGGATCGACCAAGCCACAGACACAGAACCGCTTTGGCAGTTTTGCACCAGAACGTCAGGGCAACGAAGTCAAGTGGCATGTTGATGGATGTGCATACTTCTATGCTGTCTCCAAGGCCTTGGAGAGTGCGAAGGAGTATATCTGGATCTTGGATTGTAAGCTTTGGGGAGTGTCAGTCGTGAGGTGATGGACATTTTGACTGACGTGAAAACCAGGGTGGTTGTCGCCAGAACTTTACCTGAGACGTCCTCCGGCGAAGAACGAGCAGTATCGACTGGATCGAATGCTGTTGGCTGCTGCGCAGCGAGGCGTTCGCGTCAACATCATTGTCTATAAGGAGGTGACTCAGGCATTGACACGTATGTTCAGAAAGGGTACCGTACGCTACTGCGATATAGCTAATCCAAAGCGCAGTTTCCTCCCATCACACAAAGCACCACCTGGAGGATCTCCATCAGAACATCGCTGTGTTCCGTCACCCTGACCATCTTCCTGATCGTCAGGAGCTAGAAGCGTCTCTCGCATCTTCCCTTCAGAACCTGTCGTTAGATGCAGGCAATCTGGCTAAGATGTCCGCTGATACCATCAAGGGAATCTATGGTATGCACGAAGATGTCATCCTTTACTGGGCCCACCACGAGAAGCTTTGCCTTATCGATGGTCGCGTGGCATTCATGGGTGGCTTGGATATGTGCTTCGGCCGTTGGGACACTAATCAGCACGCGCTCGCCGATGTTCATGGCCAGGACCTGAACGAAATCGTTTTCCCTGGTCAGGATTACAACAATGCTAGAGTGCTTGATTTCCAGGATGTAGCCAACTGGGAGAAGAACCAGTTGGATCGGAAGAAGACATCCCGCATGGGATGGTCAGACATCTCAGTCAGCTTGCACGGGCAGGTGGTCGAAGACCTGAGACGGCACTTTGTCGAGCGATGGAACTTCATCTATGACCTCAAGTACTACTCGCGCAACAATGCTAGATACACAAAACTGAACTTGTACGGCCGCCCTACCTCTTCTATGGGCCCCCAACAAGGTCAGCAGCAGGGTCAGCAGCAGGGCCAACAACAGCGGCCAACTCATCAGCCTGCAGCGCCAAACCAGGGACCTTCCACTCCCAGCTGGCAGCAGACATTCACAGCCCAGCCCGGCGCTCTTCCGGCCAGCCCAAACCCTTCCACTCCCAGCTGGCAACAACAGGCCGCATCTCCGCAGCCTGCGGCACAATCTAGCAATGCTCAACCATCTAGCGCCGGCAACCAGGCGACCCCTAGCTGGCAGCAACAAGCTCATCAGCAGCAAAGCCCTCAGCAGACTGCTTCCTATGGCGGTAGCGCTCAGCCTGCCACTCAAAGCACCCCTAGTTGGCAGCAGCAGCCCCAGCCCGCATCCCCTCAGCCTGCTGCTTATTCTGGCAATATCCAGCATACTCAAAGCTGGCAGCAACAGCCCGAGTCTCATCAAAGTGGATATCAGGCTACTTCGCCCCACCCCAGCTCTCAGGCAGATTCCAACTGGCAGCAACAGGCTCCGCCCGCATACACACCAAATCAGGCATATACACCAAGTCACGATGAAAAGCACCACTATACCTACACTGGTGATTCGTTCCCTCCGCCTCCCCCTGGGCCTCCTTCAAGCCAGGGTACTACATCAGCCCAGCAGAGTAGCTATGGCCAGTCTCAGGATCAAACATACTCTCACCAGCAGACCTATACGCAACCTCAAGGTCAAGCGTACACTCAACAGCAGACTACCACTCAGCCTCAGAGTCAGCAGACCTACACACAATCTCAGGGTCAAGCATACACTCAGCAGACTCCCACCCAGCCTCAGAGTCAAGCGTACCCTCACCAACAGAGCCAGCCTCAGTCTCAATACCAGTCATACTCCCCGAGCCAAGGTCAAAATCAGGCTTACCCGCCTCCCCCTACTCAAGAGGGTCAGCACTCGGAAACCCGCGGTCTCCACGACTATCACAGCGGGGGTCATGCATACGGCGACTCCGAGAGAGGCTTCAACTTCCGTGGTATCAAGGAGAACATCACAGATTACAGCAACGTTCTTCGTGGTGAACTGGCTGGCCAAATCCATCATTACCAGGATCGTATGAATTATCGCCAGGGTGCTCAGCCGCGCGGTAACATGGTTTGTCAGATCGTACGCAGTGCTTCCAAGTGGAGCAACGGAACGCCTACCGAGCATTCCATCGCCGACGCATACGCAGCTATCATCCGTAACAGTCAGCACTTCGTTTACATCGAAAACCAGTTCTTCATTACTGCAACTGGTGATGCCCAGAAGCCCGTTCAGAACAAGATTGGAGCTGCGATTGTTGAACGTATTCTTCGTGCTGCACGAGCGGGCGAGAAGTACAAGATTGTTGTTGTCCTCCCATCCGTTCCCTGCTTTGCGGGAGACCTGAGCGATGAATCCACTCTGGGCACTCGGGCCATCATGGAGTTCCAGTACAACTGCATCAACCGTGGAGGCAGTAGTATCATGGAACTGATTGCCAAAGAAGGATATAACCCGATGGATTACATCCGATTCTACAACCTGCGCAACTACGACCGAATCAATGTCAGCGGCTCATTGCTTCAGGCGGAGAACAGAAGTGGTGTGAACTACGAGGAAGCCCGCAAGGAGCACGACCTGACCACAGCTGGCCCAGGTGGCTATGGACCGGGCGCTCCTCGTGCGGCCTTTGACACCACCGCCCCTTACCAGCAGTACCAGCAGGCTGCTCAACAGGTCTCCAGCACTAAGTCTGCGCCTGGTCGGTGGGACAGCGTCAGCGAATGTTACATGTTGAATGGTACAGATATCCGCAACGTGCCGTGGGAAGGTCCTGCCGAGGCTGAAATCGACGCGTTTGTCACCGAAGAACTTTACATACATTCTAAGGTGAGCATTAATTATGATTGTGTGAATGCCCAAGTTGACGGAAGCATAGGTTATGATTGCCGACGATCGGGTTGCTATCGTTGGATCTGCCAACTTGAACGATCGCTCCCAGCTGGGTGATCACGACTCTGAGATTGCAATCGTGATTGAAGACTACACCCCTATCCAGTCGCGCATGAACGGTCAGCCATGGAGCGCGAGTCGATTTGCCGCTTCTCTCCGGAGATACCTGTTCCGTAAGCACCTTGGTCTCTTGCCACCGCAGGATCCAGAACGTCCCGATGCCAACTTCGAGCCTGTGGGTGTACCAAACACATTCGATGCCGAGTCTCCAGAAAGCCAGATTGTGGCCGACCCCTTGGCGGACACAATGCATAGCATGTGGAACACTCGGGCCAGAACGAACACTGAGGTGTTCCGGAAGGTCTTTCACTCGGTTCCTGATGACCAAGTCCGGAACTGGGCCACCTACAAGGAATTCTATGGATACTACTTCCACAACGCAGACAAGCAGGCATACGGCAAGGACGACTCCCAGCCTGCTCGGTACGAATACGGACATGTGGTACGGGATGACTTCCCTCCGGGCCCTGAGGGTGTCAAGCAGGTGAAAGAACTGCTCAGTCAGGTCAAGGGAACACTGGTCGAAATGCCTCTGATGTTCCTGATCGAGGAGGATGTTGCCAAGGAAGGGCTGACACTGAACGAATTGACGGAGCCTATTTACACCTGAAGGAGTAATCTAGTTCAATCTTTGGATTCTGGCTTAGCAGCAATGAAATTGGATGTTTCTTTATTATTTTGTGTTCTGTGGACCGACCCAAAGTTGTAAGCGAGTGGCGGCAGGTGGTGGTTAATATTGTTGTTGAAGAACAATAGGAAGGGACGCATGGTGGTTCGGCGCCGTCCCGGATTTCCTCCACGCGTGGCACTTCCAAACTCAACCCCACGAGGTTGACACATTCACGATGATCCATGATCCATGATCCATGCCAGATTCAGTTTGTCGGTCTATGGTTTTCGAAGGCACATTCATCTGGATGCATACAATTGACCGCTCCAGACTCGTCCAGGCACATCCACTACTGTTTCGAGACCAACCACAGCCCTCGCGGGCTTCGTGCCCCGTTATTCAACAGGTCGGGCCAGAAGAAAGAATGACATACAGCCTCAGTTCCAGAACCGAAAGCAGAGCGCCCATTATCTCGATTCTAGATACCGAAACCGACCTGTCATTGGTCCATTATTAGAACAATATGAAGATCTAATCCCTGTCCTTCCAGACATCCTCAACGATCCCAAACCATACATCCCAGTCGCCTCCATTCCGTTCTTTCTACCTCATCCCCATGTGATTCCTCCATGAAAGCCTTCTCGAACGCCATGCTGAAGTTTACCGACAGGAAGAAAGAAAGTATCACAGAAACGATACTGACTCTCTCGCCCTAGGCTGCCCTTTCATTCGTACCTGCCGAGACCGTCCTCATACTTCCTCAACTGCCACTGGTCTCTTGTTGAATATCAAAGATGGAGTACATGTTCTCATTCACGAATTCTACGGATTGATATCTGCCAGAAATCTATATTAACCCCTTCGAATCCTCTCGAGGTTTGCTTCTTTTTCTCTCCATCAGCAAGTTTTATTACAAGCAAAACAAAAACAAATTCGATCTTTCGATCATCACTTCAATCATTCAAAATGGCCCCCGTCGAGATTGTCAAGGAATCCACCACCCGCGGTATGTCCTCTCTTGGATCTGGCTTGTCATGACTTTTGCACTCCGATCCCTTCCTATCAATCCCACGTAAGGGTCAGAACGTTGGCTAATATCAAGTATAGGCGCCTCCCCCGGCGGCGGCTGCACTGTCATGTAAATGACTCCCCTGAGATAGCCTGGAGCTTCCTCTCACTTTCCACATGAGCGCAACAATCTATCCTTTCGGTCCATAATCAATAAATCAATATCTCTCAGCTTTCGTCCATCTCGAATAAGGAATTCTCCTCCCCATCCCGCAACATGACTTATCTCATACACATACACGCTATATATTTTGATTCATCATAAACTCCAATTACTTGGCTCACGCTACTTTCGCCGTCCCCGAACACTCATGACCCGCGACAAAACACCAAAACCAACAGCCGGTCCTGGTGCCGTTGCGCCTAAACGGGGTTCAGGTCTAGTGGAGGGCAAAAGTTGATCTCCCTGATGTTCCAGTCACGACGTCGGTTTCCACCTTCTTCCTGAGAAGGTGTGGGACTCTAGAACAGAACTTTGGGTGGTCAATCACCATCTTATCCGGATTCCATTCTTTCGCTTTTTTCTTTTCAACTCCGCCTCCGAGGTTCTTTATTCGAGAAATGATATACTACGCTTGCGTGTGTCTTGGACGAGAGAGGGGGGAGCTGCGTTGGGCTGGAAGGCTTTAGATTAGGAGAGGGAATCGGGAAGATTTGGGTTCTTGTTTATCTAGAGTCGTGTTGCGGTCTCTTTTCTGTTTTGGTTGGTCTAAACTCTCTTGGAAAACCCTCTCTGAATTGGATAGGATGTGCGTGGGTTGAGTTTTTGGTTTTATTTATACATAAATTAACGATGAGTGAGTTGGATTAGATATAGTCTCTCTGAATATATGTTGGCTGGCTCACTTGAATTGTTCTTGAGATTAGACCGGGTTGTAAAGGTCGTAAGCTATGTGTTAAGAAATTGATGTTGGTTCCTGAGCTGCCAAGTACCAGCTTAGTCTAGTCTCCTTCTGGAGTGCTTTGACAGATGAATCCACATGTTCAGATCTATTCTTTCGACTCGCAACTTTGCGCATTTATCACCCCCAGGCAAGAGAACCAGCATATAGACCAATGACCACTCTGCATGACGCAGCAGAGAAAGAAGTATACCCATATCATGGGTTCCTGTACAAATAAACCCAATCAATAATGCCCGTGAAGAAACATGGAAAAGGAGAAAGCAGCCATCAACAACCACCCAAAGCACCAAGGCTCTGTTTCTCGTTTCCAGTCATACAATAACCCACACGCCTGACATCCAAGAATAATCGACGCTACAACCCCTTCTGCAACGCCCAGTACTAAAGTCTACTCAAAAATCCCCGACCCCCAACCCCCATCGCCCCCACCTCCCAATACCCCGGCACAACTGCCGCCAACCCCCTCCACCCCGAAATCCAGACTGCCAGGAGTTGGCGTGGGCGTAGCCGTAGCCGTAGCCGTAGCCGTCATAATATCACCATCACCACCACCACCACCACCACTCGCATCCCCCTTACAATGCACCGGATCCTCCGCACAGACACAAGCCCGGCAAGGAAACCCCACCGTCCCGCCGTCGCAGAACATCGCGACGCCGTTGTATTCCATATCTGTGTCGTATTGAACACACCGTCAATTTAACACGCACACACACACAAAATAGAAAGACAAGGGGAGGGGAAGAAGAGGCTTTCGGGTGGATGCTCCTGGGGATAAGCGGTGCATTTTTCGAGGTGTGAGAGAAGGGTCTGTTGGGGTAGGTGTGAGGATTTTGTTTTGTTTGAGGTAGTGGGTTACTGCGTGTTGGACATGGACTGGAGTACTATACTGTGCTGTACAGCGTTGCACTTATGTATTTAGCTGAGTATATGGGGAGGGGTTATTGGGTTTAGATAGATAGGATAGAATCACCTTTTCTGTTCTGGTGCTGAGATCGCCGGGGATATTTGTTGCCTAGCTAGCATTCGGTGATCATTGTTAAAACAGGGAGTTCCAGCAGTTAGTGATTAGATCTGTCATGATTTTTGTTAATTGAATGCGTGTAGAGCATATGGAAAGAGAGAGAAAGGATATCCTAGCTACCCAAAGAAGAGGAGATATCACGAAATGCAGAGTGGCTCCAATTTCTTACTAGGTGCCTGTATTTGCTGGATGTACGGTATATTGTTATACCTTTGAGATATTTGGGGGAACTTGGAAAGCTATACGAGCCTCACGAGACCAGTTCTTTGCAGGTGGACCAAGCCAAGTCGCTTCTCGGGAAGGGGATTTCGAGCTCATTCGTTGGTATGGAGTACGGTGCACCAATAGCCCGGTTTCGCGCCCCATCCCCCGGTGCTAAGCTTGCTTAAGCACTGGACCAAGGAGCTTCTTGGTTCTTGTTTGGACGATGTTCATACGGGGGTTCGCCATATGGTGACAGAGAATTTGTCGGATCGTAGTTGTGGTATGGTGGCTGCTTGCATAGAAGCTGGCTTTCAGATTGTGCGGCAAAAGAGAGATACCGTGCTGCTTTGGGAGTTGGTGTAGGAGGAGTAGGTATAGGTATGGCTAGGTGCGAAGTAGAGGGATGGGATGTGATGCGCCTGGGTCTATAGATGGGGATAGTAGCTTCATGCACTGGGCAGAATTCTACTTCGAGCGCGTATGCTTTCACTCAAGGCCGTTTTCTAAGATATAGTTACAATTGGCAAAATCTTTCTCAAAATCGAGCACAAGTAGCAAAATACCCAACTATCATTCCATTTCGTACATACACTCTATCACCCAGCAATTAGAGTACACCTCATTCCACCCACCCGCCCAAGGGAAAGTCTTGATACAAGACTCCCTCCACCGTTACTGCCTTCCCATACCAGCAGAGACATCAAGATCAAACCACCCCCCGCACACTCAACCGCCCCACAACCGTCCGCACCAACGAATTCGTCTCCCCGCCAAACACCCCGGCCTCCAACCGCCCGACCTCCCGCTCAATCTGCTCCTCCATATCCCGCAGGAACTCCCTGGTGGCGGCCAACACCCCGGAATCGCGGAGCAAGTGCAACAGACCGGGGACACTCATCGGCGGCGGGATAGCACTACCGCACACTCCGAAGCCCTGGCCCGTGCCGTTTGCTCCAGTTGAAGAGGGACAGGAACAAGACGAGGAAGAAGAAGACGCAGTAGAAGGGGGGCAGGCGCACGGCGAGGGGCTGGTTCCACGAGACGCACAACCCGAGAACGAACCAGCGTACGATGACGAGCATGAGCCAGTAGTCGCAGCAGCAGCAGAAGAGGATAGCAGCGCAGTGATCTGCGCACGGTACTCGGGCCGTGTGTTCAGGAGCCGGATGATGGGGTAGGAGTAGCTGTATCCTCCTATCGTGCTTTCTGCCCCAGGCTTGGAGGGAATGGTGCTAGTTGGTGTGGTGGACTCGGTGGTGAAGAAGAGGTACTCCTCGCGGATGCGGATGAACCGCGCAAGGAGGTTGGTGAGGTAGAGGAGGGAGTCGCTGCGGTTCAGGAACTTGGGGTCGTTGGTGCTGCTGCTGCTGTTGTGAGGATGGCATGGGGATGGCGAGGGAGGGGCACAGCGGGACTGCGACTGCAGCAGTCGGACCAGAATGGAGAAGAGTGCCCCCGTGGTATCGTCGATTAGGCCTAGGTATTCGGGCTCGGTGGGGATGTGGTGCGTGAACTTCCAGTTCAGGGCCCAGCTCTGGCCGGTGAAGAGTCTGGTGAGACCTTCGGTCAGGATGGCGGTGGCTTGCGGCGGGTTGCTGAGGAGGTGGGGGTGGTGCTGGACGGATTGCAGGGCGTGGGTGAAGGCGTAGTAGGCGCTGTTGGTGGCCTGGGCGGTCCCGAAGACGACGTGGGTGGCCGGGCTGCTGTGGCGGGTGGTGCTCGCGGTGAAGATGTCCCAGAGGATGAGAGTGGCGTTGTGGAGGTTGGTGAAGATGGTCTGGATGTGTTGGAGGGAGGGTTCCGGCGCGCGGGCCCAGCAGTTCAGCGCGGCCGGGAGCATGTTCAGGATTGCGGTGGTCGGGGTGGAGGCGATAGAGCTGATGTAGGTAGTTGGAGCGGTTAAAGCGGTGGTGTCTGTGGTCTTGCTCTCGAGGCTGCTGTGGTGGAGTCTGTAGCTGAGTTGAGGAGAGCAAGGACGATCGATGAGGGTGGTGGTAGACGAGGTGCTGGTCCATTCGGCTTTGCCGCAGTTGCTACTGCTGAAGCATGGAGACGACAGATTCGCCCGCCAGTAGTTGTAGCTGGCCATCGCCGCCCCGACGGCCTCGATCCAACGGTGCAGACGGATCGATTCGGTCGGGTGTTGCCAGGAGAATCTGTCCTTGAGGGACAGGAACCGGCTCTCGAGCTCAAGAATACTTCTTCTGACCTTCTCGCGTGCTGCGTCAACCGACAACCCCTCCACGCGAACAAAGCAGTCGATGATGTTGCGCCCGGCCTTATGGTCTGCGCACCCTGCAGTCCAGCTCCAGTATTCATCGTTCAAGGCGAGGCACTCATCCGCGACGTCCTTGATTTCGTGAAGAAGCATGTGGTCAACGTGCGAGAGATGAACACCGATGGCGAATTCCAAGATCGGCCAGAAGGCTCTACACAAGGCATCAGTCATCACACATTCAACCCTCCCAGAGTCTCTAACTCACTCAAAGGCGAACTTCTTCTTGCAGTCCAGTGGCGTTGGAGCCCGAACAATCGCTTTCCGATACACCTCAAGCAGATGCACCCCGTGCTCGCACTCAGCCCGGCAAACATCCGAGAAGATCTCCGAAATGACCTGCTGAAGGCGATGATGGTGGTGGTGGTGGTGGTGGTGGCGATAGTGGTGCTGACGGTCCCCTCCCAAACTCTTCCCGCACGATCCAGAGCACGAGCAGGAAGAGGAGGCCGAGAATTGCTCGATGCACCGGTTCAACAACTCAAAGCCCTCGTGTCGATTATGAGTTCCGAATCGATGGCAGAGGTCTACTGTTCCATCAGCACCTCCTCCTTACACACACACACTCGCAAGAAGGAAACAGGAATTGAAGGGGCTTACCATCAAGCAGTCGTGCCATCTCAGCCAAACACGCCGCCGTCGCCAGTCTGTCCGGCTGCGCCTCGGGGATGATCATGACAAGTGGGCTGTCTCGCGGTCCGAAGCGAGTCGCCGATGTTGACCCGGGATAATTGGACCCAACATCGAAGTGGCAGTTCCATTTGCACACAAAGTCCTGGGCAGCTTTGGTGGCCACCTCGCTGTAGCGGTTCACGCGGATCGGGAGGGAGGTGAAGGCGCCGGCTTTGCGCGCTTCGAACTCACTAATTACCGAGGAGCAGGCGTGATAGTTGTCCATCGTGAGGTTTAATGTTGCAGACTGCAAAAGAATGAAATCAAGGAAGAAGAAAAAAGAAAATATTACAAGAAGGAGAAGGCACAATTGGTGGTTTGGACAAGAGCTGGAATCTCCTGAAGCTGTTGGGGATAGGTTGCGTTTATATGCTGTGTCTCGACCAAGCCCCCAGCTCGTACTGTGCGCCACACGCTTGCTCTCGAAATGCATGGATTGTCGGTGTATGGACGGCGATTGCAATGCTTTGATGCATGAGCTGTGAGATGAGTGCAATATCTTTTCCAAAACGGTAATGCCGGGATCGCAGCTCCATGGGATAGATCAGATGCGGAACGGTGCCTTGCTCATTGCATGCGGGTTTGCATACATATCACCTTATGCATACCGCTTCGAAAAGGAAACTCGTATCTGGATTCATTTGTGGAGTGGCAAGTCACGATATCCTAGCAATATCTTCCGAGCGATGACTCTGACCAGATTGCTGAATACTTTGCCTCCTGAGGCTGTCTGTTTCATAGCTAAAAAATCCGGGCTGGACGTGTCTGAAGGTGAAGAAAAACCCTCCAGTGGCTGTGCTTTGTTTTGTTGTGCCATCTGCTTTTCCAGAATCATCAAGAGAAAGGCTGCCATTACATCGCCTTCTAATGAAGGCAATCATGATCGTAGTTCAAGGAATAGAGCATTGCATTTGACAAGGATTTAATACTAAGTCCCTGATTAATCATTGGGCCGCCATTGTTATAGCTATATATTTCGAACAAGCTTGATAGTCCCCACAATCGAAGACTCCTTCAAGCTCGATCACCGCCAAGTATCACTCTCAGTGGCACTGCTCACTCCACAGCTCGAGGGAACGGTATAAGACCGGTTGGGGTCACTCTCCCAAACAATGGACCCATCTGTCTCCTTGCGGATATACTTGTACTGGAAGGTAGTGCCTGCGGGCAGGCTGATCGTGGCATACCACAGGTTGTTGCTTGAGGTGTACTGGCTGGCGCTCAATGCAATTGCACTGCTGGTGTCCCAGCTGCCCAACTGAGAGATGGAGCCGGAAATGAACACATTCTCTCCGTAGGTAGTGGTGGCAATCACATCGAATGTCACTGCAACACTTGTGGGCGTGGAGCAGGCTGAGGTTGTTGTTGAAGTCTTGCTTGTAGTGGTGGTGGTGGTGGTGGTAGTGCTACCGCTGCCAGCCTTAGTGGTAGTAGTGGTGGTTCCGGTGCCAGCGCTACCGCTGGTCAACGTGCTTGGCCAAGCAGTGTTGGTAGCGGTGCTGTAGGTACCCGTTGCAGAGGTGGCAGAGCAGACAGAGGGGACACTGCTCGCGCTCGTCTCTCCCCAAGAAGGAGGCACAACCGAGTTGCGGCGCAAGTTGGCCGTCAGGACCGCAGCATAGGACCAGGTCAAATCTCGGGCAGACAGCTGAGTACCGTATGTCTTATCATACTGCTCGGAAAGAGAGCCATTGGTCATAGCGTGAGATTCCTGTAGGCTATCAGTAAGGCACTTTGAGATCAAGGGAAGTTGGACGCACAGCCACGCTCACGTATCCATCAGCATAGGTCTTGACAGCGCTGATGATGGAGGTAAAGGCGGAGCTGGAAGAGGAGTATGTTCCAACCGCCGCGGAGCTGTACAGATCTTGGAAGAAGGCAAGTGACGTGCTGGTGATGGTGATGGACCCAATACGGTTCCACTGATAGATAGCATCGTACAGCTGCTCAGCGGCTGCAAGGGTGGTCAAGAACCAAGGGTTACCGTTGTAGTACGAGTCCTCAGGGTAGCGGCCGACTGCAACCGCAGTGCCCTCAGCAATACCAGAATTGAGCGAGTAAACCGAGCGGAAAGAGTCAGTATAGACCTTGTGGTTGGCCAGCGCACGCGGGGAGCAAGGTTGGAAAGTCGTGTCGTCGCAGCCTGCGGCGGGATCAAAAGTGTGAATACTGGCGAGCACGGTGTTCGCGTCCTTGCCACTGCGGCCGCTGTTGGTGTTGGCAAGCATATAGGAGCCAGTCCAGAAGCTCTGCATGAAGCACAAGATTTGCGGAGCCTGAGAATCGCACCAGCTGCAAGACGAGCCAACACTCTTAGCAAAGGTGCTGCCTTCCACAAGTGCCCGATGTTGGACCGCAACAGTGAAGAACGAAGACCCATTGACTTCCTCCCACAGATCTGCATGATTTCGAGTTAGTGGTAATTGGTAGGGAAGTGGGTTTGGGGATGACCAACCGTAGCCAGTCTGGTTCCAGTACTGAGCAACATAGGACAGATCATTGCGAACAATGGGCCAAATGATGTTCGTCGCGTAGGTGGAGTAGCCATTGTTCTGAAAGTGTCAGTCAAGCCACTCGAAATTCATTAGAAGAACTTACAATCAGCCAGTTACCAAAGCCAATCAGAGCGGTCGCTCGCAACGCAGGTCCATCCCGCTGTGGACGACCCCAGCTGCCAGTGTACGCCGTCTCGTCCACATTGAATTTCGGTTCTCCAAGACCTGCCCCGCCCGAGAGAGAACCAGACGGGTTGGAAACCGTTTGCAGGTAAGCCTGGGAATTGATATACTCCTCGATGACCGTCTGGAGACTCGATTCACCGTTGACGAAGAGATCAACAAGAATCTTCATGGTCAAAGCCGAATCGCGGGTCCAGGTGTAGTAATCTGCGCACCCCTTGTTAGCGGACAACCATACAACTAGGAAGAAAGTAGTTCCTCACAGTCCGGGTTGTCAGTGCTTGGACTAGCAATAACGATGCCAGACTTAGCACTCTTGGAGAACTCTCCATCCGCCCCGATGTTGGCAAGAATGCCATCGAGTGCGACCGTGGTCTCAGATGCGAACCAGGAGTCGACACTGCCTGTAGCGCGAGCATTCAGCTGCGGGGCTGCAGTGGCCCAGGAGCTGAAAGCCAGCGCGCAAAGCGCATAGGAGACGCGCCGGATCATGGCGAGGCAAGGGAAAAACGGGGATAATGAGTAGAACAGAGGATGAGACTGGAGTGAAAAAAAGAATCGCTAGACAGTAGGAAAGTCACTGCCTTTTATAGACCGCATGAGGCGGCCGTCCAGCACCGGGTGAGGGGGAGGAGTTCGACTCGACTGCATGTGAAGCGGACATGAACATGCATTGGCCACAGGCATCCAATCGCTTTGTCGGCATCTGGCTTGTACCTTGTTAGACGAGGTGTGACCTGCATGAGCCCCTGCGCGGGCGTTCTGCACACTGTGACCAGCAGACCAGCTTCTCCGATGAGGTCAAATCCGGGGAGCCAAGTCCGTTTCCTCCAACGAGAGGGCTCTGATTTCCCCGCAGAATCGCCGCCCCTGGCTCGGTTACGGCTTTTCTTCTCGGGGGGGTCAGGCCGTCAAGGAGTCAAAGTGGACGATTCATCACGGCAACCGCGTTAGTGAGGTCCACTAGTGCCACGCTAAATACAAGTCCGTCAGTCTTGATTCCTTGATGATGCTGCTGAATATCGTGAAGGAGGTGGGGAAGAGACGAAAGGGTCATCGCTTACCTCGCCGGTGGGGAGACGCAGCGAAAGAGCGAAGGGAAAAGAGGGAAGCCCGCCTGGGCCGGAAATGAGGTATTAATGAAGATGGCAGCCGTCGACCAATGGAGATGGTCGACCACCTTTCCTCCGCTGCTTGTCTTCATTTCCCCCTCCAGCCAGTCTCGACAAGCTACACCCCTTGGGCTATCTAGCCAGCGCCGCCTCGGAATTTCCATTGACTCGACGAAGGCACTTCAAAAGACGGTTGGGCCATCGAGAACAGGACTGCCGAAAAATGCACTAAACCATAGACCAAGAATACGCTAGGTACAGTACAGGTCTACGGGTCACAAGCTAAGCACGGAATCCCACCGGAGAACTTGACTAGAGTGATGAGCCAAGATGGTCTGACTTCTTGTGGTGCAATACATCCCAGCTGAAGCCCAGGGACCGAGCAACCCCGTCCACCAATGCTCAGACAAGAACGTGCTTGCAAACATTCCATTGCAAGGGCGATGACTACCTACCCTATTCACAAAAGGTCACGTCGTGGCTGGCTGAAAACGCACCAAAGTAGCGAGATGGTATCGACTTCTACGTCGCTGCTCCTAAACCTTTCTCCCTCTGCATCTCTTCCTATGGAATACTCCATACTTCTCGTGCGAATAATGAAATCCATCTGCACTCTACTCTCCTCGCCCGGAAGCATTGAGCAGAATTCACCAAACAAGATTCGATCATATACATACGGAGGCGTATATTTCGGCCGTATCCGATACTGTGAGTATGTACACTACTGATGACCTAAGGGGAGGTTTCCTTTCGGATCATATCCACCCGAGCGATATCATCGGCGCTGGGCTCAGGGAGTTCCGAGCTCTTCAGCACAAACGCCTCCCCAACCGCCTCCTCCACCTGCTCCAATGCATGGGAAACCAAGCCCACCGACCGTGCCATTCCGATCTGCGTCAGGTCCTCGCCCACCGCAGCTTCGATTTTGCCCTCACCCCCGTTGACCGTGAGGTCCGCTTCAAATGCATGGCAGAGGGATTTGAGCGGCTCCAAGAAGCGGTTGCGGAAGTATATGTAGGTCTTTTCCAGCTGCAATTGGCGGCGTAGGTCTGGTGACGAGACGATAAGGTAGTATAAACTGAGCGCCGCGTGAATTGATGGCGTCAAGGTCTGCGAGAACTTAATCCATGAAGCCACAAGGTCGGATGACACATTCATAAGCAGGGCGGATGAGTTGAAGAGCGAGGGAAATAACACAGAGAAATAATGCGGGTTAAGGAATATGCTGGACTCAGATGGCACATCGGTCTTGGAAGCTTTGGACACTTCCAAGATTCCGTCTTTCAGCCAGGCAATGGCGCTGTCTTTTACAGTCTGGAATCGATCATCCTCTAGAACTGTTCGAATGAGTTTGAAGCGGGCGATTTGCGAGGGATTGCTCTGAACAACTGTGCCCGGGATTCGTCGAACTGAACTGTAGTTCTGCCGGGCAGTACATGCCGTCAGGGATAGCACGAAATCGATGAACTCTTTTTCTGCGGCTGGTGGCTGGATTGGTTGCTGCATAGAGAAGACAGTCAAAGCAAGTAGTGAATCGAGTAGGACCTGTGGCTGCCCGAAGGCCACCTCATCAGGCGAGTTGTATCCCCCAACAAAGTTGCGAAAAATGCGCGCCAGGTCCGGGAAGACAGCAGTCGGGGTGACACGGCCGGATGAGAACAATTCCGCCGAGGCTGCCCGTGCTGCGAGGAGCAGCAGGGAACCATGTCTTTCCAAGGGGATCTCGTCCGCTTTGCGAGGTGGCTCATCGAAATCCAGCGGCGGGGGCTGGTCGTCGGATGATTTCAAGGCGATTTCCAGCAGCTGCTTGTCACTAATACCAAAGTCGCGAGATAGTGCCTATGGATGTTAGCAACCTACTGAGTACGGTCCCCAGGATTCGATCTCGGGCCGTACCGTGATCTTGGCAACGATTAAGTCTCGCTCCTTCAGTCGTTTGCTTTGAGCAAAGATGTCTGTCTGCGTCTGTTGGCTGGCCATTCGCAGTCCGGGATGAAGTTTCTCTTGCAGCCGGATCGTCCATGACATTCCGGGGTCAAGCGGACCCGCAAAGCTGAGCAGGTATGATTTGAGAACTTCAAGCAAACCGAACTGTAGAAACCTCTGGACCAAGACCGCCTCATTGTCAGTGGCCGGAGATGGCGATTGAACTTCAGCTTCCGGGTCCGGCGCAGAAGCTTCAGACAGACGGACCACGCTGGATTCACTGGCTGCTCGGGGTGGCGGGGCCGGACGTTTCGAAGGCGACACATCCCGAAAGAATTCCAACAAAGCAATTGTAGTTTCACTCGTAGGCATCAACGTATATGCTTCGAGCAAGGCTTGCAGGGATGTGGCCAGGAACCGACTGGGTGACTTGGTCTGGATGCGAGAGTGCAACACCGACAACATGGAAACGAGCGCGTTGAATTGTAGGATATGGCGAGGCAGGGGCTTTGTTTCGTCGTCTGATTTGGGCTCCGATTCGCTGTTTACATCTTGCGATGACTCCCCGTGCGGGCGAGGTGATACTGAGTCCGCATTTGTCCATTCAGCCTCGTCGTTCTCGTCCTCGGCTGGTTGCAGTTTCATCAGGGCATCCGAAACCCGTAGAATCACCTCTCTAGGATTTCCCAGGCGAGCAATATCATGCAGACAGTCCAAAGACTCAGGCAGCATAGGTACGAGCAGATGCACCAGGTCCCAGCCGATATTGGTCGTCAGCACCTCATCCTGAAGGAGTGTATGCAGGGTAGGCAGACGGGCCGGGGTCAATTGGTATTCGAGCAAAGTCAGGTAGGTCAGATAGTCGGTCGCAGGAGGCAACGCTTGAATGAGAGGATCGTCGACCTCAGCCATGGCGATAAACAGAGATTGCGGGAAAGGAACGGTGATGGATCATGCGAGATCTTCGAGTGAGATGCGATGCAGCAAAGGAGGGGAAGGACGTTTGTCGACGGAGTCGAAGCGGGACGGTTGAAACAATAGGTGGGGATGACATCACCCGGGCTGTCTAGCCCATCGATAGGCGTATGCGCAGTACGTACAATACATACTTAGTAAACTGCAATGAAAGGATAGATGAAGTGACACGAGCTGACAAGAAAGTGCTGAGTGCCAGATCAGGCGCAAGCTCTTCATCCCTGCCACCAGTCGGCCAGTAAACTTGGAGTAAGTCGATGTCAACAATTCTTATTACCCAGCCAGGTTCAAGATTGGGGAATTGAGTTGCCGGCGCCCATTGTTGCCAGGTGAAACGAAACGAAACTCGGGGTTCTCCAGACCACCTTCACAAAAGAGACAGTGACAATTCCGCTGAGTCTCCACGATGATCTCCCGTTCCTTTTTTCGTGTGCCTAACAATAAATAAATCTGCATAGATACTGAATCAAGGCTAGAATCAGAGCGTTGCGACGCCTTGACTCGTTTGTGGCTGACTCATCCATAACATGAAGAATGCATCAATCAAGAGGCTTTGAAGCTTTCATTGTGATTCATCGAGGCCTCGACAGGAGCGGAGCCTGTTCCACTCCAATCTCATGATTCTTTTCTCAGGAGTGCGAGGAATGATACCCAAAGTGGTCGAGCAGTCGGATATCACATCCGCTTGCCGGTTTCCCGAGATAGGAGGGAGGCACGCTGCCGGAAGTCGTCACGGTAAATAACTAACTAGTTACTTGGTGAGTTATCATATGTGAGTACGGAGTACGAAGCAATAGGTTTTGAGTCATGCAAGGCATAGATTGACATTGACTCCCTTCCTCCTCCGAATCTCATCCCCATGGTGGACTACAAATACCGTACTGGACGAAGGGTCAGTCGCGGCCTGAACTAACATACTCATAGTGGCACTACGTACTTCTTTACTTCTCCAAAACAAAAAAAGTCTTCAACTCCTCACCACGACTGATTGACTGACTCTAAGCCAGATCAGGTAACTTCCGGAACTGGGAACCAGGAAAAAACTCAGCAGAACCAAAGACCCAAAGACCCAAAGAACCAAAGACCGGGCGGGAAAAGCCCGGGCGGGAATTCCCTTACAATGCCCACTTGAGACCGACGATGACGCTGGAAGGCCGTTTGCGGCCAATCATCACGCAGCCTCAGGCACATCGCGGCGCCCTCTGCAGGTTTAATTTCTCAGCAACTACTGATCTGAGCATCGTTCCTTGAAAAGGCGCCCCCCACGACACCGAGCCTGGTCTGATTAATGATTAATTGACTCTTGGCTATCTTAGCATCAGCCAGCATCATCCTCCTTGAAAGAACTAACAGTCTAAGAAAATTAGAAACTCTGACTATTGCCTGAGAACTCGTTCGTCCTTCCAATCATTAACTCCGGGCCGCTTTTCTTGATCCGCGCTCTACCGAACCTGGATCCTTCAATTGCTCGCTCTGTCTTTCTCTCTTTCTTTCTTTTCACCTCGCAGTCTTCTCTACTTAATTTATCCTCCTCCCTTCTTCTCAAGCTCTCCGTATCTATAGTCTACCTCTTGTCTCTTTGAGTCCTTTTTCTAGTTGCCGTTGCTGTTACCACTGTCTCATTCTTGTACTTCATTGTTGGGGGGACTTTAACTGATCTGCATCTGTGCACTTTCGCGATCGGGTGTCGATCTCACTACCCAACTCAGCTCAACAACACTGCTACTCCAGAGCTCCTCTATCAGCTGTGCTCAACAGCGCTCGGAGGAGTGTCTGGTTGTCTACAGTGTAAAGACAACGGCGGAACGCGAGCTCGAACGTAGATCATATACCAGCATCGCCAAATCTCTGACGGCCGTTTACCCGCCTGCTCGGCTGGTCACGGAAGGGAGTGCAATCGGCAAGGTTACGGACTAGGAATTGCAAGGAACGGAACCTCCTCTTAAGGAAACCTCGATCCCCCTGAGCTTGACATTCCGACGTATATATCAGCAACCGCGCAGCGATGGCAACCGAGATGCAGTCGTTCTATACCCCTTCCACTTCCACCCACATCTCGTCCCATGCCCCGGCGGCCGTGGATGAGCTAATCAACAAATACTCCTCTACAATGTCGACCTCAACCTCCGCCATCAGCCACCTGTCGATGAAGAAAGCTCACCGGAATGTCCTGCAGCGGATTATCGATCGCATTCGCCTAGAATACTATCGCTATGAGGTCACGTTCGGGCTCTATGTCATGACGCCGGGAGAGAAGCTGGTGGCTAACACCTTTGTGATTGTCGTGCTGTCCCTCCTGTTCTGGGCCCTGCTGGTTTATTTCCCTGCGCTTCTATACCAGAAGGCCAGCCGTCTTATCTGGCTGTTGACTGGTGAGAACGGAGAGGAGATGGGGGCTGCTTTGGGAATCATCGATTCGCACGTCAACTCCATGTCTACGCCTTCGAGCTAAAAGCGCCTCATTCGCGATTGAGTTATGGAGAGGGTCATGGCTATGATCCTTCGCTTGCCCTCTTGCTTTGTGTGATTTGCCTCCACACCTCTATTTTGGTATAAGGATACCAGGGATCGACAATGAAGGTAAGAGAAGTATTGGTACCTGCAGTTGCGCGATTCCGCGTTCGAAGCTGACAGCCTTGACAGATCCCCGAGTACCACCTTTGCTTCATATTTGGGATTTCAACCCCGGCGTTTTGGGAATTATATGATATACAATCGGTAGCGGCGAGTGCGCCGTCCGAACATAATGAATTGACGGAAGACATTGGATTAAATAATGTGAGCACGCGTGTCAAGCGTGCAGGATGACAACCCAGGCGGAACATGACGGAGAGATTTGGCCCTCATCGTTGACACTTCTACGCGTGTCAACCGTCCACTGGAAGTACAATCCTGTGGTTTCGATTGGTTCTTTGGGTCCAAGGTCAAAGGAAAAGAGATCTCATGTACTTGAGCTCAACCCTACCATACATCAATGTATAGGCGACCAGAATGTGGATTAGACCAAATGGGTATTGTTTAGATGTGAAATAATGCTTAATGTGAAATATGAACGAACCCATCTGTGACCTGTGGGATGTAATTGATTGTGTGTGTGCAGAATCCAGGTGTGCACGAGCCTCTTGTCTGCCTGCAGCGTCACTACTTTAAGTACTCCTCCGTATTGAAATTGAAGAAAGCTCGATCCTAGAGCGGACACCAGCCACCAGATATGTAGTGCAAGTGCCAAGCCGGTGACGCGACGTTTTACCGGCCGTGCCACTGTTCTATAGCACGAGTAGACGAATGGGAATCGTAGAGGGAAACGAGGAAGACTCCGCCACAGCGTGCCTAGCCAGAACATGACTGTCTCGGCCCCAGCAGTATGCGTGGCCCGCAGGTCAGCGATGACTTGCGTGTGTAATGAATGAATCAATATGGCCTGCATACTCGTACCAGACTACCAGCACCATTTATGGCTGACGACGATGATGAGTTCCAATGGACTTTTGGTGATCGCCGCCCAAAAATAGGCGGCGGTGCGCCCGCCCATCGGAAAGGAAAGTCAGTCTTGACTCTTGAGTACAAATGACGCCTGCCTAAATTACTGCTTCTTTCCCGTCCTCCGCAAAGTTGTCTCTGCTCTTCCGTTCCCATTTTTCTCCTGTCATTTGGAGTGTTTTGCTGATCCAATTTCCTCACATCCGTCGGAGAAGGATTACTTGACAGGATAGCAAACCAAGTGCGCCTTTTGGGGGCGATCCGTCACTGTTTCTGATTTTCCCGCCGGCTTTCATTGACGGCTCAGGGGGAGAACCTACCTTTGCTCTTGAAGTCACAACCAACCAAACTTACATAGTAAGTTACAAACTCATTGTTGATCAGTGTTTCAGCCCTGTTCAGTTGTTTAATAGCCAAACGTGCCCGTGATTTCTGCCCGCCTGCCTGCTTGCCTGCCAGCTGCTGAATGTTTTGCCTTCCTTTACCCCAGTCAATATCCTGCATCGACTTGATCGACTTTCATCTCCTGCATGTTGGATTTGTTTGAGGGACAGCAACCGATTTGATTCCCCCGAAACCAGCCCTCCGGTCGCAACAGCCAAACAACAACCAACCACTTCACACACCCCCCCTTGCGCCCGTTACCAGTCAGGCTGTCCATTCGACATGGCGGCCAACAGCTACTATCAGAGTGGCTACAGCAGCAATCCGCCAAGTTACGAACAAGTCAATCCACAATTAGCTCAATACCCGGCAACTGGTCATCTGGGGTTCGATACACATCCTTACCAGCCCACCACTTCCGATCCTCAGCTTCACTACAGTCAACAATCACTGGGTTCCGACCAGGGGGCCTATGCCGCTGGCGCCAGATTGAATGAGGGCGAACAGTATGCCGAGAATATCCCCTTGAAGGCCAACAACCAGTATCCAAATGGCCCTCCGCCTCCTGCAAACTGGATGCAACAACAAACGCATTATCCGCCGTCGCCGGACGAGATCGAGCCTGCCATGCGCCCTGGCGCTCGACGAACACAGAAGAAGGGTTTCTTTGGAAGGAAGATCGCTTGGGTCACTTATATTCTCACTTTGATCCAGATCATTGTCTTCATCGTGGAGTTGGTCAAGAACGGTAGGTTCCTAGGATCAGCATCAAGGGAATTATGTTGACCGGCTCAGCTCAACTTACGGGAAGCCCGATCGAAACTAAACCGTCATTCAATGTCATGATCGGTCCTTCTCCCTACCTCCAGATCTACATGGGATCTCGATACACTCCGTGTATGAAGAATACACCGGGCATCCAGAATGCCAACGAAACGATTCTCTTTCCCTGCCCCAACGCGACGACGACCGAGTCTCACTGTACCTTGTCTGAACTGTGTGGTTTCAACGGTGTGCCAAACCCGACGCCCAATGGATCGCTGGACGATCAGCCTGAGCCAAACCAATGGTTCCGATTCATCATTCCAATGTTCATTCACAGCGGATTTATCCACATTGGCTTCAACTTGCTTGCGCAGATGACCATCGGTGTGGCCATGGAGAAAATGATTGGGTGGTGGCGATATGCTCTGGTGTATCTGGCTAGTGGGATCTGGGGATTCGTGCTCGGAGGCAATTATGCCGCTCAGGGTCAGGCATCATGCGGCTGCTCGGGTGCACTTTTTGGTATCCTCGCACTCGATTTACTGGATCTGCTGTACAGCTGGCAAGACCGACAGTCGCCGTGGGTCGAGTTGATCATTATGGTTCTAGGAATTGGCGTGTCGTTTGTTCTGGGACTTCTGCCAGGACTGGACAACTTCTCACATATTGGCGGCTTCACCATGGGTCTGGCTCTGGGACTGTGTCTCTTGAGATCGCCTAACGCGTTGCGAGAACGTATTGGGCTCGCACGGAACCCATATGTGGCCATGAGCGGTGGCGTGGGCACGACCACTCCAGAGGAAGGTCAGAAGGTGGTTCCCGCCCCCAGCATCGTCGACTTCCTCAAGGGCAAGCGCAGCCTGAAGTCCTCCGACGGAAAATCGAACCCCATGAACTTTTTCCGCGGCCGAAAGCCTCTGTGGTGGGCATGGTGGTTGGTGCGTGTGGGAGCATTGGTTGCCGTGCTGGTCGGGTTCATCCTGCTCATCATTGATTTCTACAAATACCCGAAATCAAACTGCTCCTGGTGCTACCGACTGAGTTGTCTGGTGAGTCTTTTCCCCCTGGATGTGTCTTGTGCATTTCATACTAATATCCCGCTAGCCGATCAAGGACTGGTGCGAGCAAGGTAACATCACGACGGAAGAGAATTCGACTTGAGCATGTTCGATATATAGCATTTTGGAATTTTGGGCATATGATTTTTACATCTGAATATCCCTCTATGCGATCTGGTTGACATTTTCCCATTCCAGTACATTATTCAACGGCGTTAGTGGAGAAGACGCAGGCCTGGCTTTGTGTGACAGTGCCGCAGTGATTCATGTTCATATAGTATCTCTGGTAGACTAGCGAATGCATTACGAACATAATTGACCTATATTTATATGAGACGCCAACAAGACGTACAGAGTATGAGTGACTGCGCCACAATATATCCAAATCACTAGTGGGCATGTGATCTACCGGGTGTGGCGGTGACAGATCGGAACTTGCTCGGTACGGTAACTTACCGTAAGCATCCGCAGCGTCGTAATCACCGCCGATGATCCGTCAGCCGACGGCCTCCTCTACGTCTTCCGTGTCTCACTGCACTTCTTGTTCGATGCCTTTTCTGCTAAAATATACACCCTTGCTTCGCTTCTCTTAGTATCCCAGCATCCTCCTATCGTACTCGAGTACTTTATTCTCCTTCTATCCGGGACTGGCTGCCATGATTTGATCGCCCTGAACGAATCGATCGGCAGCTCGACCCCGGCCACTTTGTGAACCATGGCAACCTTAGCAGCATCACCGCCGTTATCGCCGTCGTGGCCGAAGCGACGGCCGCGGGCATGGGCGCTGCGCATTGAACGCTACTGCTGCACCGCAGCGTCGTTTTTTCCTCTCGCTTTTGTTTATGGCCTGACGACGTGGGCCGTCTGGGTGGAGGCCAGTGTCGGCTTCAAGTCGGTGCAGAGCAGCTGGATCGGTGAGGCTCTTTTCCTACAGGACTCCAACCCTCCATTTCTAATGACCCGTCATCATATGACAGGCCTCCCGAGTTCCTTTCTTGGGATTTTCCTCTATATCTGCCTTAATACCTGCTACACGGTCGCCGTCTTCACCGACCCAGGCACCCCCCTCAAGCCATCGAACAGCCGCAGCCAGCACGAATACAGCGCCCTCCCCGTCACCGAACTCCCGCAGTACACGGCCTACACGGTCAACTCGACCGGTGGGTCCCGCTTCTGCAAGAAGTGCCAATGCCCTAAGCCCGACCGGGCGCACCACTGCTCGACCTGCAAGCGGTGCGTGCTGAAGATGGACCACCACTGTCCCTGGCTGGCGACATGCGTGGGGCTCTACAACTACAAGGCGTTCCTACTGTTTCTGATATACACCTCGGTTTTCTGCTGGGTGGACTTTCTGGTTGCGTCGACGTGGATCTGGAACGAGATGCTGGACGATAGCAAGTACATGGACTTTGACAAGATGCTGCCCATCAATGTGGTGTTGTTGGCCGTGCTGGGCGGTATCATTGGGTTGGTGTTGTCGGGGTTCACGGCGTGGCATATCAGTCTGGCGGTCCGGGGCGTCACCACGATTGAGTGTCTGGAGAAGACGAGGTATGTCTCGCCGTTGCGGAAGGCGCTGGATCGCCATCGCTACGAGGGGCTTGCAGGCCATGATCCGGATGGAGCTGGGGTAAGTGGTTTGGGTCACCGGCTGCAGGAGTACGGCGGACAGATTCTGGATGCGCATGCCAACGCGATCCCTGGGGTGACTAGGGCGGAGGAAGGCGAGGACGAGATCAGACCTTCGCAGCAGGGCGGCGCCACGCAGCACTTCTCAGGGAGGGAGGATCTGTCCCCCGCGCAGCAGGCGTTGACGCGATCGTATGCGGAGCTGGAACGGCAGCGCGAGCATGATCGGTACCAGAGCTACCTGGAAGAGCAGGACAGCGAGAAAATGCCCCATGCTTTCGATCTGGGCTGGAAGCGCAATCTATTGCATCTGTTCGGAAGCCGCCCGCTGCTGTGGCCAGTCCCCGTGTGTACCACCACCGGCGACGGCTGGCACTGGGAACCCAGCGCCAAGTTCCTCGAGGCGCGCGACGGTGTGCGGGCGCGACGGGAACAGGAGGCGGTCGACCAGCAGCAGTATTATCGGGATTTGTATGCACGGAATATGAACAACAGCCAGAGCTGGATGGGGGCGGACGCTGCGACGTCTGCTACCAATCCGGCTGCTACCTGGACGCCGCAGCAGCCGTTGGATGTGGTTCGAGATCCTGAGAGACCCAGTACAGGTGTGTCGATGAAGACGTTGCGACCGGTGTCACCGCGTCTTCGACACGAGGAGGATAGTGATGAGGAGGCAGCACCGCGCGGAGAGGATGAATGGAGGAACTGGGATTGATAAATTGGGTGTACACTTAGGAAGACTATATATAAGTATGAGATATGACAAGCTCACGACCAGGATGGTTGTATTTGTAGCGGGTGGTCTGAGACGGAACACTTGTGAAATATAAGCGTTGGAATTTCCAAGAGAGGTTTCGCACTTGATCAAGATTACCTCGTACTTTTTAATTTGACCACGCTTCGCACCAACATCTCCGTAGCTCAGTTCTTTATACTGAGTAGGTGTGCTGAGGAATGCATTGTGATTACGCAATTGTGCCTGGCCCACATTCCGGCCGACACCTCAGGCCAGTTGGCCTCTCCTCATTCCCCTCACCACTTTGACCTGCAACATACAACTCTTCTGCAGCTCCCTTCCACAAACCTACTTCCACTGGACTTGAATTCATCATCTCCCAGATTTACTGGCTAATGCAATTAACAAAGACGAGCAAACGTCCAAGGAAACCAATCACTCAAGCCGGCCTTGTCACGCAGGACCTACAGTACAGTTACTGTACATATCATCCAATGCGCCCAGCAACTCAACCCACACCTCTACCCTGAAACCACCAAGCACGAAGCAAGAATACTGCCCCCCAGCTCTTGACATACCTATACGTACTCTCCACCAAACCCACAGTCTCAGTCACGATTACGACGACGACGACGACGACCACCACCACCACCACCAAACCGCCTCACATCCACATCCACCCAACATCCCCCGCACCACCAACCTCTCCAAACAACCACCACTACCACCACGACGCAACAAAAGATTCAAGAAAGATGACCCCCTCCCTCCGCCGCCTCACGCGCGAACAAGCGGACCTCCTCAAAAACCCCGACCCAACCTTCCACGCCGCGCCCATCAGCGCCTCCAACCTATACGACTGGCACTTCACGTTGCAGGGCCCGCCGGCGCCCTCCCCATACAGCGAGGGGATCTACCACGGCCGGATCGTGCTCCCCCCGACGTACCCGCTGCGCCCGCCCTCCTTCCGGTTCCTGACCCCCTCCGGCCGCTTCGAGGTCAACCGCGAGATCTGTCTCAGTATCTCGGGCCACCATGAGGAGACGTGGCAGCCGGCGTGGGGGATCCGGACGGCGTTGATCGCCCTCCGGAGCTTTATGGATGGGGATGCCAGGGGCCAGGTGGGCGGGTTGGATGTGGGGGAGGAGGTGCGGAGGAGGTATGCGGTTGCGTCGAGGGGGTGGAGGTGTGAGGGGTGTAAGGGGCAGATCTTTGGGGAGGATGAGGAGGGGGATGAGGAGGGGGCTGGTGGGCAGGCGGGGAGGACGAATTTGGAGGTTTTGGAGGCGTGGTGGGGGTTTTGTCGGGAGAGGGGGGTGGATGTTTCTGGGTTTGGTGGTAGGAAGGCGGTTGAGGGGGAGGGGAAGGGAGAGGAGGGTGAAGGCGACAATGCGGATCTGGAAAAGAAGACGGAGGAGCAGGAGCAGGAGGTGGGGAAGGGAGATCAGGAACTTGAACCTCCGACGATAGGGTCTTTAAAGTCTGATACCGGGGTTTCTGGAAGAGAGGATGCACAGACGCATAGTACTACCTCGACAACAACAGCTGCTGCTGCATCAACACCACCATCAACAACACAATTACCAGCTGTGCAGCAACAACCAGACCAAACACCTCAGCAGCGCCAGATACTGCTCCAGTCTCAACCTCAACCTCAACCTCAACCTCAACCCCAACACCAACAGCAGCAGCAAATATCCCCCGATACCCCCTGGCTCGACCGGGCCATCTTCGGCGTGATCGTCGCCCTGGTGGTCATGATCCTCCGGCGCATCGCCAGAGACGAATAATCTCTTGCCCATATAAAAGCATGGATGGGATATCTTGGCGTTTATGGGACATTATCAAGCTCAGGCGCCAATTTGTATTGTACTTATATCTTTCTACCAGGATGTCGGAAACTTGAACTTGCACCTTCAGTTCACTAATAAACCAAGCGATATCAGATCTTGCACATACTCAATCGATCTCTGACGACTCCAGGGCGCGCGCAACAACAACCAGATATCACTTCATATCCTCAATAATCCGTCGTAGAACATCATCCAAGTCCACCGGCGGGTCGTCTCGAGTCAGCAGTTGCGAAGTATGTTCCTCCAGATCCTGAGCCTCGCGAAGGAGAGCATCCAGCTTCTCCCGCTCCTCCTCCACCTCCTTCTGTGTCTCCCTCCCCGGGTGCTGTCGTAGTTTGCGCTGGATAGTTCGCATCCTGTTTCGCGTGGTTCTGGTCCGTTCAGTACCTAGTTCAGGTGCCTGCTGTCACCCGTATTAGCATGTTTTCGACGTGTTGTAGCCCTACGCAAATGCAGAGAAGGTAAACAAACTCACAGCTCTCAAGTCATTACGACCATTATCAGTATTCCCCCACCTCTCCGGACACACCCCAGTCGAATGCCCATTTCTGCCACAGAATACACAATTGCGAGTCAGATCGGGGGTGGTGCTCTTCACGCTGTCGGTCTCTTCGAGATGGCGAGGGTCCATGGGTTGGATGTCATTGTCGTCGCCGTAACTGGGACCGTCACCGTCTCTGCTCATGAGCCCAGTATATCCCGCGTGATGGGTGGCGGAGGAGGCAGCAGGTCCAGGGCCTGAGATGTAAGACATCGCGGAAGCTGGGTGGTATCCTGCTTCTGCGCCGTGCCCTGCCCCGGTGTTGGGATTGGTGTCATATGCCTTGCCGTGCTCGTGCCCGTAGTCTGCGTTGAACGGTTGGCGGTACTCGTCCCCATTACCTGCTCCGAACGAAGTGCCATACTCGTCCCCATTACCTGCCTCGAACGGCTTGCCCTCCTCCCTGAACGATTTGACATCTTCCACCCCGTAGCCCACATCTCCCCCATACGACACACCATTAAACTCCTCCTTCACACCAACCCCCAGACCCCCCAGACCCCGCAGCTGATGATGACCACCACCATCACCCATGATACCAGTCCCAAACCCGCCTGCATATCCATTGGTATACATCGGAGTACTCCCCAAACCACCAACATACCCCGTATGATACGCTGGGGCTGGAGTGAAGTATTCGTATTCGTGATACCCGCCGTCCTCGCGCTTGACGATGCAGCCGGTGCCGTAGTTGCCGTTGCCAGTTGTCACTGTACCAGCCTGATTGCTATAGCCTTGGGCGGTTGGACCACGATGGCCTTGAGGAATCGGACCGCTACTGCCGTGAGCAAGCTGACCGCGCAACATCTCGCTTCCCATTGGATTACGCCACCAGGAGAATGCGAAGTGGGATTTCGGAGGTGGGTTGGTCGCATTTGGTCGAGCTGGAGCTGGAGCCCGAGCTAGACCGGTGGGTGTTTCGATGGAGGGGATCGGGCCTGGTAGTCGTGGTGGTAGCGGTTGCGGTTGCGGGGGTGGTGGTTTCTTGGGAAGATCTCCGCGCCTGGTGGTTATCTTGCGGGCTTGGGATTTCTTCTTGCGAGTCATTCTGGGGGATTCTTTTCCTCGTTCTGATTCTGGGTCTGATCCTGATTCTGAGAAGAGAGGGATGAGCCTTTGGGTTGTTGGGTTCGGGTGGTGGTGGTGGTGATGTTGTTGTGAGGAGTGTGGTGGTGATGGGGATGGGGTTGTCTGGGTCGATGAAGGGCAAGTGAAAGGAAGGAGGTGGTAGAGTGAAAGAGTGAGGATGATGACGAGGGTAAAGAGTCCGATAACAAGAAAGAGGGGGATCATGACACTTCTGAGGTGAGGCGTGGTCGCGCTTGTTGGGTGGCTTTTCGATGTCAAGTGAATAAGTGAGCAGGTGCGTGGCTAATCTGCTGCCGACTACTGTTTGTCGTGATGCTGCTGTTACTGTCGCGATATTCTAGCAAAGAACTCCAGAGATGGTCACTGACAGGCTGCTTGCTGTTTCAACAAAAATTGCACGGAATAGTGATACATGGAACAAGACACAAAAGACTATGGCCAGGATAACACACGAGAAAGCAACAAGTTTTCTCATCCAAAACGCCCTATAGTTACAGCTCTTTAGATCAAGATCTCCCCCCTAAATCAAGCCAACACCATATACCACCATTCGTCCGTCCGCCAGCCTGGCTCATCCTCATCGTGTGCTTTGTCCGTTCTCGTCCAATCCAACTTCATAGCCCCAACCTTCTTCATCCACTCCAATAAGAGCTGCACCTCCCATCCTCCCACCGTCGGCTTCAACATCCCTGCAATGCTAGAAGCGCTGATGCCAGGCCTCTGCGCCACACAGCTCAACACTGATGCCACCGCCAGATCCCACAGAACTCGCACGAAGTCCCCATGGATATCATACCACAAAGGAACCTTCGCGGGGAGTGACGTCGCCGGATCAATCTCCTCAGCCAGACGCGGTGGTTTCAGTGTACTGGCCTTTTCCTGCACGGGGTTTCCATACACATAGGTATCCGTCGGCCAGATCTCAACCGTAAACCGAAGCTTCTTCTTGTCCATCTGTCGAGTCAGATACCCACCATCCGTTAGACCGTACTTGTCGCGAGGGGGGTCACGCGGTTTGAGGAGCACGCGACCAGCCCAGAGTAGGTTGATAGCCACGAGCATGTCGCCGTCGTCCGCGTTCCAGTCGATCTCAGCGTGTCCCTGGTCTTGGAAAGCGGGATCCAAGACCTCCGTCTTGAATTTATGGGCACGGCGCAGTTGGATACTCTCAATGGCCCGCTTCTTGCTGATAGCGAGTAAGAAATACTCCGTGACATCGTAGTTGCGTCCTGGAGTGATGCGGCCCCGATTGCCCATATTTAGGGCGCGTTCTGTAACCAGCGACTGCAGCGCCTGGTGGACCAAGGGCTCCCCAAATCGTTCTAGACTTTGCCGTGCCTCCATGGGGCGGTAGGTCTCATCTGGAGTTACGACATTTGCTCTAACCCACGTCTTCGCTACATCCAGACGGGCCAGTTCGGCCTTCCGGGGCCGAGCCCGAGCCATCTTGTTGCTCAAGGGCATGGCAAACGGAACAGCGGCAGCCAAGGCGCGCTTGCGGCTAACAGTGATCGACTGACTGACATGGTAGAATTCGTCCAGCGGATTTGTTGGCTCCTCTCGCACGTCGAACATGCTATCAAGCTGCTCTCTCGTCGCTGGTAGATCAGGTAGCTTCTCAGACTTGGGTAATTCCAGATGATGCATCGCCCAATCGACTACTCCCTCCCAGTCGTAACCGTATAGATCATCGTAGTCAATGCGTGGCACTTCATCTTTGGCATAGGCATCAAGAAACCTCTCGTGAAAGTCACTCTGCATCTTGACGATTTGCAAACGGCATTTGTTGAGAACGAGACGGCTTCTTTCAGCCACAATATCCTGTTCCATGTCAGGAAAGCAATGAAACAAAAGAGTCCAGTCGATCTGACGTGCATCCGACCCTCCCGCCAGACTTCGAACAACGGCAAATGCCACCATGATTCTTCGAACCATCTCGGGAGCCAATGGAGCCCGGTTCCTCTTAGGAAATGTGTTCCGGTTGTTGAGCTGCTGACTTGACATGAGTGCTTTATTCTCATCGCCGGCCATGGACTCATCCCACTTGGCTATTCGGCGGTTCTGAGGTGCCATTGAAGCGGCTTCCGACCGTCGGCGTCGCTGACGAGTAATAACAGACAATCGCGGTGTGATGATATCCCCAAAGCTCTCATCAAAATCAAACCGAATGCCACTTTCAATGCCGGAGCTCTCTAGGTTCGGTACCGTTTGATTGATGAACGTGATCTCGGAGCTCTTGCGCGCAAGCAAATCCTCATTCTCAATCTCCCACCGAGAAATGGTGTTGGTCTCATGAAAGAACTGGCGTGCGCGCGGGTCATCACTTGTAGAGTAATCGAAATTGTGCCTCTGAGACTTAAGGATGTCTTCCAAGGAGTGCGGTAGTTCAGTTGCAGGGATGAGTACATGCTTTCTTGCTGCTGCTTTGGCACGGTCTTTTGCAGCCTGAAGTGCCGGAATACCAGCTTCGGTCGAGAATGTCCCAGTTGAGGGCATGAAGGTTGACCTGGTGTTCATAAGCATCGAGTACGGAGCAAGCGATGACCAAAGGCGCCGCATTTTGCGGATCGAGGCCAACCCGGCTAGTGCATGACGTCTTTGCAGCTGTCGCTCCTCCTTGGTCATTCTCAGCGGATATGGCCTGGTGATGGAGGTCAATCCCTGAGCCCCGTTCTTTCCTGCCCGGCGTCGGAATGTCATAAGACGAACAATCTCCGAGCCGCTGAATGGATCGAAGTCTTCCTCCATAGCAAGTTGTTCGAGCAGTTCCCTCCGCATGGCCATATCTCGCCTTTTCTCTATCGCAACGACAGACGCAGGCTTTTTATGCAGTTGCACTGTAAGCTCGTCAGGCAGTAAGGGAAAGTGACTTGTGTGCCGGCCTTCCTTTCCTTCCATCTTTTTACGTTTGCTGCCGTTCTTCTTGATCTCCGGATCGACATCAACGTTTGGAGGAAAGTAATACCGGTCTGCCGCCAGCATCTTCTTTTGCAGATCTTCGATCAGAGGATCATCGGCCTGCATCTCCACTTTGTAGACAATGTTCTTTGTCACCATAACACCTTTGTTGTCACGTCCACTGAATGTTAGCTGGCTCAGCCTGCCAGCATCAACCAGTCCTTTCACCACTGTTCTGACCGTGCGGAGATCGGGAACCTCCTTGTAGCGAGTTTTCTGCCATGCAGTCATAAATGGGTACCAAAGTTCTGTCCCCATTGGGTAAGCTCCTCCAGCCTGGTCGATGATATCCATAACGATTTGCCGGCGAAGCACGGCGACAGATCCTCCTTTCCCTGCTCTGAGTTTTCGATCATTATCCTTCGTTTGCTGTGTTGGGGTTTCCACCTGCTCTGACTCCGGTGCAATTTGAGATATCGACGGTGACGGGACTTCGACTTGATCGGCAGCCGGCTGTACGTCCGCGTTTGTGGTGCTTGCCGTGTTGGAGTTGGTAGAAATAACTATCTCATCGCTCTGTGTCTTCTCACTACTCTGAGAGGTCGTATGATGGTCTGCTGCCTGCGCAGCACCTGCGTGATTCTCAGTTGGACGTTTTGGTGTTTGCGAAGTTGCGAGCCATTTCCGCAGGGTATTATTTGCACGGGGTTTCTTTGGCGACGGACTGACTTCGCTTGCAATTGTCCTAGAGTTTTTCTTGCGCGGGGAACGTCGTGTCGCAACAATACTATCACCCTTCGCAGTTTCAGCAAGATCAGTCATCGCTTGGTCCCCATCTTTCGGAGAAACGGCTCGCTTTCGTTTCGTGCGCTGATCTACTGTGACCGGGCTCATTCGACTGTAAGGACTCTTTTCTCCTTCAGTTTGAACCGAAAGGCTGCTACTGTTTGCATCGACGGATACTGCACCAGTTTGGGAGGTTCCAACGTCGACTCGCCTTTGCTTCCGTGCGCCGTCAGTTCTTAATTCGGGTGTCGCATCCGAATCGCGCTGCTGTCGGCTTCTCTTACTCCCTCGCGGCTGATTAGCTGTGGAAGGTGTTGGAGAGCCGAGTGCCGTGCCCGAATCAGCCACCGTGAGCCCAGGCGTTTCAACCGGACGCGGTGATTGGGGCGTTATTCGGGATTGAATCGCCGTCTCACCGTCCGGGTCAAGACGATCTTTCTGGAACCACGAGAAAGATGACAGTCTCGGGGACTTGAACACAGCAATCCTGCTAGCACGAGGGCGTCCCTGTCGATTGCCGGCCGCCCTTCGTCGACCACGTGGAGTGACGTACACGCCGGGTGTTAGTCGTTCCATGAGCAAGACGCTGTAATCTGTCCATGTCTCATCGTATCCCATCGCTTCCAGCCTTTCCTTCTCGGACATGCCTTTGTATCGCTCTGGATCATGCTTCTTGAGACGTGGTCTAGCAGGCTTCAGCTCAACTATCTCATCGCCAGAGACATCGGCGTATTCTTTCTTGACTGTGACTGGCGTAGACCTAGGGCGTAGCGGGCTGGCCCCAACGCCAGCGGCGCCCTTGAGTCGCTGCTCAATTCTATAGCTCCCATCCAGTTGCCGCACTGCCACAGGGTCACGGCTGGAGCAATTATAGTTTGGCGGCTCAGCCACGAGGATACATTCCAGGAGGGAGGCATCACCGCCCTTTAGCACCTCCTTTCCCGGACGGTCCAAGGGTAATGCATATTGATCCAGCTGAGGCATGGCATTTACAGGGGGCGGTCGGATCTTTTCGTCCTTGGCATCCTTCGGACGGAATTCGACCGCCTCCCAGAGCGCATCTCCTGCGTTGACTAGTGCCTGGAAACTTAGAGCGGTGTAATGAACGTAATGTGTAATAGTTCGTTCAAGTGCTGTGTCCCGCACTATAGCCAGATGGCGCAAGTGTAATGGCTGGGACAGCTGCCAACAATCTGTAAGTCGACTAATTGCGTTTTCTAGCGGTCGGCGGTAGTAGTACCCGAAGCAGTTCCTAATAATCCCCTTTTCATGGCGTTAGTGAGTTTTCAGGTACCTTGCTTCCTTCGTTCGACTTACCTGATTGGTAAGGCCCGCAGTCCCCGCATTATCGATCGTTTCGAAGATTAGATTATGGATGTTGCGGTCTGGGCTCCAAGAAGGGAGAATGCGACCGGCGTCTTCCACCTCTTGCTCCCGTTTCACTAACGTGGTATTCGGGGGGGCTTGCGATCCTCCGGCTGAACCTTCCTGGTCCATTTCGTCTTCCAGTTCGACGTTGTCTTCCTGGTCCAGATTGGCCAAGATGTTTCGACTGAACTCATGGAATAATTCCATGTCTTTTTCCGTAGGTTCCCGGATGAGCATGACACATGGATGAAATTTTTTCAGTGTGTGCGCGTACTGAGACAAAGCTTTCACGCGCTTCAAGACCCCGATGCGCTCGAACTTGCGAAGCGCCCGGGACAGGATTCGCCAGTGCCAATGATCGATAAATCCGAGCTTTGCTTTGAGATCATTGCGAGAAATAAGCCTGTATTCCCTCAGAATGTCAAAGAGCTTCCCATTAAACTCATTGAAGTCGATCATCTTGGGCTTCACCCCAGACGGCTCAGAGTCTTGATCGGACTGAGGTGCATGTTCTGGTGTCAAAAACCGGCGAAGGGTGCAGAGACTCGTCCGAGCAGCCTTGATTTGAATAGCCCGTTTCTCGATGTAGCCTTTCTGATGCAGGGCGTCTGTTCGCTTCGGAACCGACCGCTTGTCCTGACCACTGGCCTTGACCAGATCTGTCTGCACGATGCCGTTGTGCTTACGCGAGGCAATAATTGAGAGAAGAGCGAACTCGGTGGGCAAGACTTTGGTCTCATCGGGCTCATGGCCGGTGACTGCTAGCCAAGTTCGCTCCTTTGAGACGAATACGCGAGCAGGCTCCGACGACGAAGTGGGAGCGTGCGCCTCGGTAGAAGACTCATCACGAGAGAATCCGGTGACATCTTGCAGGCGAAGGTGGTTTCCCTCCCTGTTCTGACCCACCGAAATTTCGGGGTTCTTGGTCAGCCAGGACCAGACTTTCTCCTTGAAGCGTCTGTCCACGGTGTGGCTGCGGTCAGGAGCATCCTGTGCCAGTCTGGCATAGAATGTATCGATGAACTTTAGTATATCCGATGGCGATGCACCTGGAAGGCATTAGTTGATTTCATCAATGGGAATTACACGATGTAAGCGATTAAAAAGGGACGTGCAGGTGTAGATAGGCACGACATGTAGAAGGTAGTGTTTTGATCCAATAGGATGCATGCAAGATGCAGGGGAAGTGTGTTGAGTTTTAGTAGTGGTGATGGTGGAGCAGCATCACCACCTTCACTTCGTCGAGGCAAAAGAGATTGACAGGGAACCAACCTTGGTCGCCGCAGAGAGCAATCTCTGCAAGCAGAAAATCAATCAGGTCCCGAAGACTTGGGGCCATTTTGTCCCCATAATCACTGCCTTGCACTGCTCAATCTCGATTTGGAAAAATCACCTGCAGCGGATATCGATCTCAGGTCATTGCCTGGACAACGGAGATTTTATCAAACGAGAAAGAAAATGGTAGAGGCCAAAGCGCGAATCGAACCGGCGTCGTGGAGGGAAAAGGTGGAGGTTGAGGCCGAATTGCTGGGGGGGCATACACTCACGTGATGGATCTGTCCCCATCACGTGATGGGTGGCTACATCGCTCAGAATGGGAATGTTTATTGGATATTCCCTTAAGGTAATCGGAATCATTGAATGAACTGAGAGACATCTTAAAAGTACTAAAGACAATATTCTAAAACACAGAGACTTCCATTTTCGAGTCAGCTCAGTGGTGCACTATTTGTATCCGCCCTCTTGACTCTCATTTCTCTCGGCCCCAGAACATCGGCATAATTGTCCGAGTTAACTCAAGGATAGTCAACTCGGATGAACTGCCACCTCGTTCCTTACTTCCGGTCATTGTCCACCACCAACTCTGTAGCAGCCTTTCCTCCGGCTTTCATAGGTAGAAACCCGCTCCCGTGCTTGACCAGGAGCACATATCCGCCATCATGATGTTGCCGTGCGCAAAACGATTCCCTTTCGCCGTGAGACAACTGTGTGGCTTGGAAGCGCCAGCATGACTGCCGGTCGCTATGTCCCATGTAGGCAGCTGACACCGTATTCTTGAAGCCGAGCCACATCTTCTCATTCTCCATGCACTTCCACTACGGCCCGAAGTCGTGATTAGCCGTGTCCCGGCTCCCGCCCTCTCTCTGCGGGTAGAGGCCCAGGACACCATTGCTCAATGCGATGACAAGGTTGGACCTGGGCTCGTGGATGATAAATGTTCCCCCTTTTCATGGACAAGTTGACAGCTTGTATGTTTGTATTCTCGCAAACGAAGCAAGGCCGGTTGAGTCAGCATATATGGAGGCTGGAGTCGTATGAGTTGGAGTATCGCATCCTTGGTCGTCCGACGTGGACATCCTGTTTTCGAACAAAAGCAGCCAAGCTCGGTAAGTTTAGCTATGTATGAGCATGTTTGGAGTGTTTATCTCTATAGATTTTGATGTGAGGCATGCGTTACACACTCGTAGTAAGGATTTCAGATTGTCAGAGGTTGATCTTCGCTGTGGCTTTTGCCCTTCTAACCTCGGACTTTGCTCCTGTTTCCTTGTGTGCTGGTGGAAGTTTATCCCGTGCTTCGTGGTGTGGGCAGTAGACAAGTCAAAGGATAGGGATTCAATGATGAAGTGGGAGTTTGGACGGGACATACACACGTCCATGTGAAATCATAGCGGGGTATGGGTCGGAATATAACCTCCGCGCTTTGGCAGTCGCTGGTTAGTCTCATATGCTTTGATGGGATATAGATACTGTTTTTGTGCTGATTTCTGTTTAATGGTGGCTATGATTTTGTCGATTCTAGTCGGTCAGTAGTACATGAAAAGTGATAGATAGTCATCTCAACTTATCCTAAGCAAGCTGGAATAGCCGGCATTTGAAAAACAACAAACAATTCAAATCCAACCTCATGCCATCATATTTACGAATCAAGTTGCAGACTTTACACCGGTAGTCTTTTTTCCCACAGAAACGAAGAGCAAGTTAACATTATCACTGCCTGTTGTTTTATGTCAACATCTTGAAGCAGAATTGATCAGCCCGGTCGAATTCAAGTGGACTCAGAGAGAATCAACTTTGATGAACTCCCATCTCGTGACTTTCCCATAACGACACGTCAACATCTCATTCGAGGCCCTCATCGGCACGAGTGTATCATCATCAGTGTCGTTGAATAGAAGTATGTAGCCGCCATCTGGATGTTGACGAGCACAAAATGAATGTCTCATTGTGTGATCAAGATTGGTCGCATTGAAGCTTGGGAATTTAGCAAGTGCTATGAACCCCCCGGACACAGTGTTTTTCAAGCCGAGCCACCCGTCGTTTTTCTCGACACAATTCCAGTAAAGCCCCAGGTCGTAGTTCACGGTTTCTTTGGTTGGCAGAGCGTACAAGTCCAAACCACCATCTTTCAGCGCAATGACGAGTTTGGACTCCGTTTCGCGGATGATGTATTTGCATCCTGGCCATGGACATGATGATTCGATGCCTGAACTCAAGGGACCTTCGACCGACTCGGTATTGGAGACCAGAGTAGTGTGGGACGGTGTATTGCATCCGTCGTCGTCTGAAGTAGACATGGCTGCGTTTCGATATCTAGAACCCCAGGTCTTGATTAAAATAGCCGCGTACGTCCTTTAATTTTGCTAGAGCTTGAATTGGGGCATGGGCTGAAGAAGCTGTAGGTCTGATGCAAAACTTCTTGCTCTAGGTCTTCTTGATTCCGTTCTGATGTCATCGTGAGTCGCTGGATACGCACTTGAGAGGAAGGTAGACAGGCCTTAGGTCGTTGACCTCGGTAGTAGGTTGGAGAACGGGGGAAAGTGGAGGAGGGGATAAGCTGAGGGGTTACACTGTACGGACATTGGAGAAGCAAGGCAGGTTATGATCAGAAGGCAACTTGATCAAGTAGGCTCTGAATGATTCTGGACAGTAAATTGCTCATTTATTGATGTCCCTCTCGACTTGGGAAAAAGGAATATGCTTGTTTGTTTGATACTGTATCACGCTTTAAGCAATACTCATAGCAACTGAACCTTTGCCCCACCAGCTTTTTCTGCGTACAAGACCCTGCAGTTGGAAGTATCATGTCACTATAGCTACACAAATATACTCAGGTGCCTTTACCTCAACATTTGCTCTGAGGGCGGCTATTATTGTTTGTATAGTAGCTGCATAGTGCATAATTACTCAGCCCGGTAGAATTGTGCATGACTTCATGCATTCCGACGATCGGTTGCTGATCATCCGGTCGGGCCAGGGTCCAAGTGGAGCTGCAATGATCAAAGACATACCTAATCCTGTGGCTCAAAGCTCCGGGCATCGGATGGGAGGGATATTGGACCATCCGAGAATAAATTGTGCACGTAGTACCCCGTACTCTTATCTTCAATCCTTCGACGAAAGCTATAGTAGAACGGATTATATCCAGCGGTAAGCGTGGGAGGCAAATCTCGTATTCCCGCGGTGGTGGGCGGGTCAGACCAGCAGATGAACCGCTGGGATGACATTGTGGGTTGAAACCTGGATCCCAGCACCCTCCCAGACAGAATCACAATAGAGTGAGACAACAGTGGCTCTTATAACATCAGCCAAGTCTACAACTGAAGGATGTGCAGTGTTCCGGTTGTTTATGCTGTTGATGTTTGGTGAAGGAATGAAGGAAGAAGTAAGAAAGATAAAGAGTGACGGAACGGGCGGATGACATCACCGCGACGGGGTTACGTCAGGCATCGCGGCCAGCCAAAAAAGCCATTCGGTTCGCCGAATTCAATGGGCAGGGGGAAAAACAATTTCCTAAACCCGTCGTTTCCGGGGTCTTTTTCGCCTTTGAACACTGCCTCCTTTCGAACCTCCATATAGTCTAGTCATTCTACTCTCATCCCATTCGATTCGAGAGATACCTGCTCTCCTACCCAGACTACTTTCTATCCTCCTTTTCCACCCCACCATGCCTTGCATTGTCTCGGAAGCCACTTTATCAATCTAAACACCCATCACATCACAGAACAACTGATTGACAGATTGAGCCGACTACTACGTGCCGCTTTTAGCCACCCATCATGGATGATACTGAAGCAACCGCCGGGACGGCGCCCTCAGAGCCTCCGCAGCTCCCTTACTCTTTGCGCACAAGGAAGAAGTCGATCGCGTTCTTCTGGATTCTCTTCATCATCGATACAATGGCTCAACCGCTCATCCTATACTGGTGTCTATGGTATCTCACCGACCTCTCTCACAACGTCGGTAAGTTATCAGTCTCCCTGCGCATTCCCGACCCTCCCGATCTTTATTGATTTGTTTTGCCGTCCAGTCTTCAGTATTGTGACTGCGTCCTTGGGAGGTATCTCGGTTTTCGAATACTTCTATCGGTTATACAATCTCTTTCGCAAAGATTCTCGCGCTCGACCCTTGAATGCACCGAAAGGATGGGTATGTTACTTGCTTGCCAACGCTATGGGTCATACTGACTGTCATGCAGCTGGACTTCTTCCACATCAACTTTACTATCGTTTGGTTGATCCTCGCAATTGAGTTGATTGTGTAAGTGGCATAGTCGGCAGGGATATTGGATAACAGCTAACCTCTCTCAGAGGAACTGTACCAGAAGAGCCATATGGTAAGTTGATCTTAGTTCGTCGTGCCTTTGACTCCGGCTAACATTAGTGGATGACTAGTGCGTCTCGTTGCAATGGTCCTCCCAACCGTTATGTTCTACTTTGGTGGTGTCTACCTCACCCTTGACATCCTGCGCGCATGTGGTGTGAAAGCACCGTTCCGAATCTCCTCCACGCCCAAAGGCTCAACAATGCCCACCGCCCTGTATGTGCTCATTGAAGACGTGGTTGCCGTGGATGGAGGTGGTGGTCAGATTTATCGATACGCCCTTCGCACGCGGTACCTCTCCAGCCCGTACTTCCGCCGTATGCTGTTTCAGATGAACTGTTTCTGGACCGGAGGATCCATCGTATGCGCTGCCGCTATCACCGCGATCATATTCACCGTGGAGGAGCCGGTTGCCTATACTGTAAGTCTGTCCATACCCCATCAGTATGACGATTATGACTAATGAGCCTCTTAAGCTGGGCTGGACGCTTCCATTCGCCTGGGCTGGAGTTTGGACTTTGATCACTATCCCATGGGTTCAGAGTGATCTTCGACGCGAAAGACAATCGTGGGGCGCAAACCACGGTGAAGGAGGCATTGCGTATACCGACGACCCGAATGCGCCATCCGCTCGGACACGACTCGAAAGTGTTCATGACCGTTTGCCGAATCTATTCCCTTGGGGCCGCGAAAAGGAAACTGCGCCATCAAGCCCATCCGCTCAATCCTGAGCACTTGCAGGGTTGCGATACTTCTCCGTCTACCTGGACGTAACCACATTTGCTTCGACATATTACAACGGCGTTCTTTCATCCGACTTCGACAAGTCTGAGCACACTCAAGATGAGCTTGGATGAGGGACTATTGAAGTTCACATCAAACCAACAACTGCACAAACGTGAAGATTACGAAAAAATGTTCATGATGAGATTTACGACGGCTGCGCCGACATGTTACTGTACATAAAGATACCCAAGCCTCCTTCTTTTTCAAAGCGACTTGTTGATAGTTGCACCTTGTGTTCGGATACCTAGACTTATTATTCTCGGCTTGGGACGTTTGCTTTTAGATAATGAAATCATAATACCAAGATTGTACAAGATTATATACTTTGCCGCCAGCAGCAAACAACCCATCCTCTCAGTTCTGGTGAGTTCTTCCTTCGTTGCACTCGTGCCATCGTCAATACTTCCTAGAAAACATGCACGCATAGGCCGAGTCTCGTATATATCGTGACATGAGCGAGAGGTGCCGTAACGGGGATGCCATGTGCCGCTCGAGGTGCAGATGTAGTCGACACGACGACGACTACCGCGGCAGGCTCACAAATGGCCCTAGCATCTGGCGGAAGCAAATGCCAGGAACCAGATCGGCTGATGTCGACAATTGGCGTCTCTACCCAGTCAGCTGTAGCCATCCCAGCTACCCTTCAAGCCGAGAAACCACCTCAATGCTTTGCCCTTCACCCAAACCCTTCATAATCTCTTCTCAACCCCGCTCAAGGGTTGACCACTCAAACCGGCCTCAGCGCATAAAACCTGACCGGCAACAGCCGAAAATTCTTGGGGAATCCCAACTGCAACTCCGACGCCACCACCGCCAGCCCACTGTCCTTGAACAGGGCCCGGAACTTCTCATCCGTGCGCGTCACACTACTATCCTCCTCATCGAACATATCCTCCCCGCGGGGATCCGTCGATTGATTCTCCTTGACGACCAGCACGCCCGTCTCCGTCAGCGCCCCGCGACACCGGACAAAGTACTCCGCCAGCTGCCTATCGGTCAAATGGCCCACGCAGAACTGCGTCCAGATCAGATCGTAGCGCTTGTCGGGGTGCCAATCCTCCAAGCCCAAGGTGTAGATGTCGCCGACGACGCCGTCGCGCTTGAGGGAGGAGTCGCGGATGAGCTGGATGAACTTGTCGACGGGCTCGACGGCGTCGACGGTGGTGCAGACGTGGGCGAGCAGGCCCGCGGTGACGCGGCCGACGCCCGCGCCGCAGTCGACCCCGCGCGCGAGCTTGCCCTCCGTCGGGCAGTCGGGGATCAGGCGGCGGACTTTGTTCAGAAAGGTCCTCGAGCCCCGGAGGTCGATCCGCGTGTACCAGGGGTATTGGCCGAGCATGCCCAGCATCACGTTCGCGTTGGCGGGCACGCTGTTCCAGTAGCGGAGGGAGGCCGCGGGGTCGATCTTTGCGTCCGGCGCGGTTTGCGGGGTGGTGGCTGGGTCGGTCATTGTGGATATGTTGTGAGATGAAGGCGAGAAGGGGGAGGAGGGGGAGACTGTGTTTCGCAATGTCGACCACAAGAAAACATAAAAAAAAAAAGATTGCGCGCAAGAAGCCTTGGATTTGATGCGGATATCGAATCTGCACGGGCAGGTCTGCGGAGCTGCTTGCAGGCCTCAGGCAGGAACGCTCTCGTATGTCGCTTACCTAATCGCGCCGTGAAGAACTACAAGCATCCACGCAATGTCTTGTTTAAGATCGATTCGACATACACAGCGGTAAAAGTGGCTAGAGGACAGACTGACGATGGCAACGGACGAGTCTCCCGGCGAGGAACATGTTGCGTTCATGCAATGGGCCAAGTCCCAAGGCGTGACGATAAACGGCATCACTCCAGCGCGATTCCCCGGCCGACGCCTGGGCATGAAAGCGACGCGGACGATAGAAGTATGTATTATACCCCATACCCTAAAGACCCCCATGATCGATGAATCGTGCCCACTCTTTCTGGTTAATGCTAATACAGCTGCAGGAGAATGAGGTCATGCTCAGCGTGCCCGTATCAGCAATGCTGACCATCGACTCCATCCCCTCATCATTCGTGGAGCAATTCCCCTCAGGCTCATCCATCCACTGCATTCTCGCTGCATTTCTCAGCCACGGAGACGCCGCCTTACTCAAGGAGCTGGAGCCCTGGCGCAAGGTCTGGCCCAACTTCCGCGAGTTCGAGGACACTATGCCCGTGCTCTGGCCGGAGCATCTCCGCCGGTCCAATTCCGCCTTCGAGAAAGCAGCAGGCGACAGCAGCAGCGAGTCTTCCTCGTCAGCAGCACTATCAAGCCTTCTACCCCCCTCAATCTCCGGACTCTGGAATACCTTCCAGAAAGAACCAGTAGGCGTAGACTACGAAACCAGATACCAGAACCTGCTTATCCAGCAGGAGAACCGGCTGCAGGCCGCATGGGCACATGTGCGCACCGTATACCCCGAGATTGACTGGAGCACGTTCGCCTACTACTGGTTCATCATCAACTCGCGGAGCTTCTACTATGTCTCTCCGGGTAAAGCGGAGCCGGAGGACTGGAACGATGCTATCGCCATGGTCCCTTTTGCGGATTACTTCAACCACGACGACGATGCGGTAAGCCAGCCAGCCAGCCAGCCAGCCAGCCAGCCAGCCCTTACGCACTCAAGCCAAACCCAACCCAACCCAACACCTACCTCTACCTCACCAAACACCTGACATTCTTTATCGAAACAGGCATGCGAAGTCATCTGGACCGGCGAGAACTACCTCTTCAAAGCAACCCGACAATACGGTACGCAGCCCCCACAACAACACGAACACCTTCTTCTTCTTCTCCTTCTTCTTCTTTTCCTTCTTCTTCACCACCAAACTACAAGAAACCACACAATCTAACAACAAACATCCCAAAAAAAATAGACCAAAACGAAGAAATCTTCATGAGTTACGGCTCCCACTCCAACGACTTCCTCTTCGTCGAATGTATGCTGTCCCCCTTCCCTAGCCCTTAACTTAGCCCCTAGTCCGACCCCCTTGAAAGAGACACAATCTAACCAAAGATAAAAAAGATGGCTTCTTCCTCCCCACCAACCCCTCAGATAGCATCTACCTCGACGATATCATCTTCCAAGACCTCACCATCGAGCAAAAGAAAGACCTCATCGGGCAGGATTTATTCGGGTAAGACCATCCCCCCATCCATCTTGATACCCGCAAAACAAAAAGAGGGGGAAAGCTAACCACCCACCTCAGAAACTTCGAACTCACATCCCAAATCTCAACCATCCCCAGAAACATCCAAGCAGCAGCCGCCCTGAAAACCATGAGCCGCCGCGACTGGAAACTCTGGATCACGGGGCGCTCGCGGCGGGGGTTCTCGGGCGAACAGGCCACGGAGGTGGTTCGGGGGTGGATCGAGGTGTATCGGGGGGAATGCGAGGCGGTGATCGGGCGGATTGAGGAGGCGATGATAGCCCGAGATGATTTGCGGGGCTGCGTGGGGGACGGAGGTGAAAGTGTAGAGGGGAAGGATGATGGGAGTACTGCTGCTCTGGCTGTTGTGTCCTCCCCGGCCGCCGTGTGGTCTCTGGAGTGGGAGCGGGGTAGACTTGAGATGTTGCTGGAGAGGTGGAAGCAGCTTCGGGGGTTGAGTGAGGTGGCGTTGGGGATGGTTGGGGTAGGAAGAGAGGAGTAGTATCGACATGCATTGGTCAGACCAAGTTGGGAGGGGGGAGGGGGGGCTGCTATAGAGTCACTTGCTACGCAACATCCCATAGAGGAACGCAGTGCCAACAGCCCCAAACCGTCATGGGCAAGGAGATTTCTGAACATCGCGTATCATGAAGAACTGTATATCATGGCAGAAATAAATAGTATTGACCCAGAGTACCTTTTTATTGCACCGTCTATCCTGATATACCCACAAAATTATACCACACACCATATGTTCAATGCGCTCATATCGCGCATCACCCACAAATGCAATCCCGTAGACGGCCGTAAACATAACCCTGCACATGCAAAGGATATACACTTGCGATTAGCGTCTAGGGTCTGAAAAAAAAAAAGAAAGAACAAGAATGGTACATGCAGAAAATATATTTTCGAAGAGAGAAGAGATTAGGGTTAAATAGAGGTTTTGTGCGGGGAGAGAAAATCAACAAGGATGGATGGCAAAATCAGGGGGCGGGAAACAACAACAAAGATCCCCAGATAAACTCCTGGTATTATGAACGGACTCCATGGCAAGAAAAGCATACCGATGTGCCGACGCCTATATACGACCCACTGCATTGAGGGTATCACATGGCAAATGCAAGGTCAGGAATGTGCAACAAGCGAGGTCTTAACAAGGAGAACAGGATAATGAAATAAGGGATCCTGGAAGGGGTGTGATGTTCGAATGTATGCCTTCCGCTATGAAGCAGGGAGACTATTTCCGAGAAGGCATTAGTTTGCGGCCAAAGTTGCGGATTGATGCGGTCTTGTGGCTGGAACTACTACGAAAGAATCAGTTTCGCCCAAAAATGTGTTCCGTACAGTTCATATAAGCTTACTTTTCTTCCGGTCCATCCCAGAGCTTGGTGGTCTGAGACCGAGGCAGAGCTTGGCCCGACGTCATTGGTCTGCTGGGAGGATTGACAAGTCGGCGAGATTGCTACATGACCAGTCAGCAAGGTTTCTCAATACTGATTGACTTCGGGCAGTACATACTTCCCAACGAGCATCCACATCAACCTCGCTCGCCGACCGAGAATCAGAGATCACCCCACTCGGTTCATTAATGCTGAGCATGCTAGACCCGAGTGAGTTTGACCGCGCAAGCGGCAAAGTCCCCGAATGTCCGGAGCGTTGTGACTCCGAATATTCACTGTTTGAGTCGACACTGGCCAGGCTACTGGCTTTCTCAGACATCGATTGCACAACACTGTCTGAATTATGTAGAAGCTGGGATGAGCTTACAAGCTCGCGATACCGCTTCTGTTGTTGCTGCTGCTGTTTGGAAGGTCGATGATGAGAGAACTTGTTGCCAAGAATCGCAGGTGCATGCGAGATAAGAGCCTTGATAACGTCCTTCTTGAGGCGCAGAGCCAGATCCAGGTTCGACCATGTCTTATTCTGATACTCAAGCACCGGCAATCGGAAGACGAAGTCATGAAGATCCTCCAGATTGTGGTCACCCTTGCCTTTGTAACTCAGGCAGAGCACCACGTCGTGCACCTTGACATGAGCCAACGTCATATAGTTCGATGCACGTGACATCATCTGAGCCAGGTCATCCGGAGTCTCCTTGGATTTGCCTTTGCTGGGTCTTCCAAGAGCGAATTTCTTTGACTTTTCGTCGCCAGTGGAATTCGTTCCGGCAGTGTTGACTAGCGACTTCTCTGTGGGCTGTCTTGACAACATGCGTAGGCTGTCGACTGATCTCTTCTTGCTCAACGCCCCGCTCGTCGACGGGCGCATCAAAAGATTTGGATCTTTATCCTTGTGAATAGGAGTCAGTGCAAGGCCCTTGAGATGGCGATGCTGCGATCGAGGCCTAGCCTCCTCCGCCAGAGAAAGCGTGGGCTGGAGTCTTAATTCAATGGCCCCGGACCCCTTCAAGGACAAATCGTCTGTCGACATATCGATCTGTTCAAGTCCAGGGGATGTCTTTGGGCGTTCCTCCTCCTCGGAGTCAGATGAACCATCGATAGGCTTCATGTTTTTGATCATGAAGGGTGAAAACCCGCCATTTTCGAAAGCGGTTGACCCAACATTAGGAAACATGTACTCAAATACCTTCTGGCCGAGCACCTGCTCCAATTGAACCTTGAGAGGGAAAAGAGAAACTTCGAAATCGTCCACGACTGGTATGCCAGCAACTGCCTCGAGCATGTGCCACTTGACCTTGATCATATAATCATCCGGCCCGTCGAGACTGCGAGCTTGGTCAAGGTAAGGAACGATGATCTGGGGATAGATCGCATCTGGAAGCAGATTCAAGCCATACAATCGCTCGACCGCAACTTCATTATGGTTCGAACCGTCACTATTGTCAGTACGATCATAAGCAGCATTCCTCAGCTGAAATTCAACCAATGGTTCGGACTGATCCTTCATCAAATGCCACACAACCTCACTGGCCGAGATATTCCAGCGAAGGACTCCATTCGCTTTCGACATGGTCGGGTCAATCTTTCTTTGGGAGCTTGTGATGGCTTTCATCAGGAAGAACAGCTCGTCCTCGCATTGAGTAAGGTCTTTCTCAAGGATCAAGCGATCTTCCCAGCCTTGCTTGTCCAAATACTTGGCATGGATCTGGAAATGCTCTTTGATCTCCTCTAGTTGTCGAATGCGGGCTTGGAGTTTAAATACCATCTCCGGAGCACCCCTCAAGTCACTGAAATCGGACGTGAGCATGATCCTCTCCAAGCGTTCATTGCGGACCTTTTCCAGTGGTTCACTATAGAGAAGGAGGTCCAGAACGATAATATACATCGA